ACATAACTATAAGTATCTATAGAGTAGTTTTTAGGTGGTGCTAGATGGAGTACTGGCTGTCCCGGAACGAGGCCCCTGAGTCCCGGATAAAATCGCTGCTGGCTTGGGTCAAGACCGTAACCAAGTTGCCCATTTTCATCTCCACCAGTGTAGGAAAACTAGGATGTTAATTTTTGTTCCAGAAGCATACTATACTAAGGATTTTAGAAATGTGTAGTTGTAGTATATACTTACTCATGATAAACCTCCAACATCTTCCAGTTCAGTCAAATTTTCTATGCTTTACTGTTAAAGAAGGTCATGATCAGCCAGCATCTTCAGTCAAATTTTCTGTGCTCTACTATTAAAATATGTCAACATGCCATCGATTAGGTCATCAAAGTACCTTATTGATATTTATTCTTCTAGATGAAGACGTGGTATTCGTCCAGTTCGAAGTTACTTTTTTCCAATCTTGATATTCATTAGCTGATCTCGGCACTACTCCCTGCCAGTCCCGGTTAGCTGATATCGACGTTATTCTCTCCCACTCTCCATTAGCTGATATCGACGCGGAGGACGGCTCCCAATCACCACTACCTGCTATCGACGCGGAGGACGGCCCCCAATCACCACTACCTGATATCGACGCGGAGGACGGCTCCCACTCTCCACTACCTGCTATCGACGCGGAGGACGGCCCCCAATCACCACTACCTGCTATCGACGCGGAGGACGGCTCCCAATCACCACTAGCCGCTGTCGAATCTGTTCTCTTCTCCGCATTGTTAGACAAGATGACTGATCCCCTACCTTCATACTACAGATACCGTCAAGTAATACTCTCGTCATACTACAGATACTACAGATGCTCTCTCTAACAGCTCCAAGACATGAGCTTCCCTGAATGATCCAAAATACCCTGTCAGCATTGTGAATGTGCCCATGGCAAGTATCTTCCCTAATACATCGATCTACAATGAAAGTAAGTAACCATCATCATGGTGTCCCATTTAGTTCTACTAGCCTAACCTGTGAAAAAAAATCCAACCTTATAATTTGAGGCGACCCACCAGACCTAACTAGGGAAAACACAAAAGATAAGCGAAGCTATAATGAGCTTCGCAAGTGCACGCCATTAAAGCATGCTGTACGAGGAGCGATAAGCTCAAAAGGATCTACTTATATGCACGAGCGTCGGAATTCTATCTGCCTTGAGCGCTAGCCTAAACCTGCCCACATGAGCAATCCGATCGATATGCGGCCGAATTGCAACCCTGTGAATCAATAGAGTAGTATTCGTCAAGACACAAACCCACGCCAACAAGTGTGTCCTTCAGTGCGTAGTGATTTTGATCTTCACCCCAAGATCATGCTTCATTATCTTAATCTTCTCCCTGACCTCTTTACTCCAGCTAGGAGCTATACTCTCTACCCAGCATAGACCTTGATCGAAAAAGTTGACCCCCATCAAATTCCATTTTGAGACATTGTCGAGCAACACACTTAGGAATCTAACTTAGAACCACTAGGATTAAGCCGTTACAATCAAATTCTATCTTTCAATTCATTAATTAGAAAGACCGAACGAAGATCCTCAAGCAGGAACGGGAGGAGTCGTCATTTTCAATTTATAACAGAGCAACTTATAAGGTTTCACAGCTCGCATGGCATGGAGTGCATGGATCACATGGAGTAGCATGGAGCTAAAGGGGGAGCTTCTTGCGCCCCTTAAAGCTCTGCGCTCCATGCACTCCATGCTACTCCATGCGCCATGCGTGCTATAAACTACTCTGTTATAAGCTTCTGTAAAAAATACCACCCACGGCCCACCTCCTAGATAGCCTCCGTCTGAAGTCTGGCTTGGAAGTCAGACTTTAATACCCCGGAGGGTATGCTGCCCTGATATATGCCCCGGACCTATACTTTTCTTCATATCTCGGCAACAGCCCTAAAAAGTGCCTCAAAGACATACCTATGTAGCTCGAACTTTCTATGCCTATGATGCCGATTAGTAAACTTATGCGATACCCCATGCCAGAGCACCTTACTAGCACCCCGCTGTTTAAAAATCCCCCATAGTTGTTGTGCCCCAGCGATAAAGTTAAGAAAGTTTGTAGATAGTTGATCTTGATAATAAATATACGACCTTGGGCCTTAACACGTTGATCCGCTGATGATGTAGTACCTTTGTTGGTACTGTCTTGTTTCGTTTTTAGCTTCCTAGGCCTTTCATACCTAGGCCTTTCATACTCTCGCTCCCTTTCTTAGAGCTACCGCGTTGGCATCTTCCCTGAGAGACATTTCCTTGGCAGCTCCTTTTACTCCCTTAAAAAGAGCGCCAAGGATCGATGATGCCGAGGATGGTTGAGCGGTAGCCTTAATTTTCCAGCAGCTGCTCGAGGCTTGCAATCGGTAGCTTTCTATTATTATTAGAGCTACGGCGTCGCATCTTCCATAAGCCTCTGAAGCAGATGATACATAGAAGATCAACAGCCTCAGGCTGGATACTACTATACCTAGAATCGCAGCGAAAGCCGGGAAGAGGTCACCCTTTTGAGGGATTAAACAATAATAGAAAAGACCAGAGGAAGAAAAGCTACCTAAACAGTAAGATCCCTGAAGAGGGCATGACGCCATTGGCATCCATCATACTACCATCAGGGAATTCTCAACTCTGCCATTGGGAGGTGCTTCTTTTCTGCCCTCAAGGAAGGTTCCCTGATAGTGTATAACATCTGATGGACTCATTTTTTTTTTTGCGTTAGGAGTATATGCTGCCACCCTTTCAACCAATTGCCCTTGGTGGGTGTTTGTTTTTGCCCTTGAAAAAGAAGTGTCCAAGGATATTTTTCTCTAGAGACTTGCTCGGTGGTCGTTTCCTTAAGTATGGGCCGATCCTTCCGCTTGGCGCGTTTCCTAGCCCGCTTGCGAAACTTCTTATTAGATCTTCCCAAGAAGTATCATCATCATGGTGTCCCATTTACAGTACTAATAGCCTAATGGCGGGACAAAACAGTTCCAGCAGTGTGTCTCAAAGAAGACGGTCGCGAAAGTAGATGGCAATGATATTATATAATCTATATCTTTCTCTTGATGAACTAGCGACTGATTGACTGACTAAAGATTGATTGATTGATGTGCCCACTCATACGTGGGTTATTATCACATCTCTAATTGATACTGCGAGCAGCCATAATTTTCGGTCGGTTCGTGTTCCCAACCTCCTCTTCGTGCTGCATAGTGTCGTGTATATGGTTTCTATTGATTTGTTAACTGATCAAAAAGTGATATTTTTCAAACTGTTTTTTCAGGATAATTAGGGTTCGAAACAAGTCCGTAATTATTCCAGGATGATTGGGGGTTATTTTTTCGTCTTTTATCATGTTGACAGTAATATATCACAAGAACTTCAGATATTTTAGACATCATACATCACCGATCACTATCTGCTTGATCCCGTAACCAGTTGGTATTAGAGGTACCGACGTGCATCCCTGAGAGCCTCCCTCGGCCCTTTTTCCCCTTGAAAAAAGGGCTAAGGATGGTGTTGAGGATGCTCCAGTGGTAGCCTTAATGGTAATCAGAAAAGTCAAGCCATGGAGTGAGTGTTCAAACTTTGCGTCTATTAGATCTGTAGAACAACCAATCCCTTAGCCAGTCCGTACCTCCTCATCCGCTGGCAAGATCCTGGACCTTATTGCGGAAGCATCCCACCCAACAAAGGAGCTCACCAGAAGAAGCCTTTTGTGTCTCTTCATCTTGTGTAGTGCGGTAAGTTAGAGCTACCTTGCTTGAGATCGCATCTTTTCTTGACGGTCACACCTTCCTTGGCGGTCGCATCTTCCTTGAGACCATCTTCTCGAAAAAGTTACTACTATTGATCCCCCAACCCTAAGCCCTTTGATGATATCCTTGGGTATCTGATTGCCCCTTTTTCCACTTGAAAAAGTTGCCAAGGATGAGAGTCATGGTATCCTTGAGTATCTGATTGCCCCTCTTTCCACTTGAAAAAGAGGCTTGGAGGCTAGATGCTAAGGAAGGGTGCCAAGAGGATGCAATTGCGAGAGATCCCATAATAAAGCAAGGACAGAGCAGATTCTTTGCTCTACATGTTATCGTCGCCGGACAAGCTTTTTCAAGTTGCGTCATATAAGGATGGTCATCTTCATGGTCAAATGTTATTACATGGCAAAGATAGTGTCATGGTCATGTAAGGAGTTTTGAACTGATTTTACATCTTCATGGTAATGTCTCAATCAGTTCCCCTACACTTTTTAGATTTTGTTTCAAGATATGATTCAAATTCCGAAAAAGAAAGTACAAAGTGGACGGCGCATCGTACTAGAAAGTAGGACGTAGAACGTAGACAGGCAAAGGATGAATCTCAAGAATAGTAGATACTGGGAAAAAAATCGATCCTCCAAATATTTCTTTCATTTTGATAAGGAAAATCCGTGTATTCTGGTAAAAAGATCTGATTTCTGTTGAAGGAGCCACCAAGATTTCGCAATGGACGCAGGGTTCTTTGTTTGAATGACGTAGAGTTTTTTGAATGCCGTTCTTTGAGCACAGTTCTTGGAGACTCGATAGATCGCCCAACAAGATTCCCGTGTGTTCTCTCGTGTTCTCTCGAAAAATTTTGCTGTCTCAGTCTGAGAAAATAACAACTAGTCGGGGTATCCCTGCTGGTCAAAAGGACAAAGAGTACGTTCTCGCATGTTCAAGTACAAGCATAAAACCATTCATGACGTCAACCAAATACAAAGAAACAATAAACAATGGGTCATGGGTAAGATACATGTCCTAACAATAAACATATTATACATAGCAGGTTCAAGGTGGGAGTTGAACAAAGTACAATTACAAACCAGAGAAAAGCACATAAACAAAATCATAAAACGTCACTACAGGGTGTGGAGGGTCAAAAACACAGAGAAAGAGCACAGCTACCAGTCCCCGCCTCAAAAAACGAACACGAGCGAATTCATATCTCTAACGCGAGCCGTGAAAGCTGAATTCAGACTTCGAATCCGACTTCACCTTTCGAGCAAAATAAAGTTCTTCCTTTGGTTTGTTGTTGATATCACTGCTTGGCTTCAGGGTGTAATAAAGCTGAGACTTTGGACACACATCTCGTGCCATTTTTGGAATCAATATTTTTGTACAACGCAAAATTCCCTTTTTCAGACATACACGATCAAGAAAAGGAAGGTATCCAAGACAAGAATAGGTAACGAAACGAGCTGCAAAAATATTTTCTCATTTATACCGCTTCGAGCACGATCACGTATCAAATTCATTTTCGCTCGTTGCATCTATTTCCCTCCCCCGTTCATAATGTACAACTAGAATGATCGAACCTAACTCAAATTCCCCCCTAAGGCCGGACAAGACAAACGACTTCAATCTTGTACACCAAATGCTTGACCCCAACGCGCACCACTTCTCAGCCATGCGCACAACTTCGTCAAGCTTGTACACCACCTTCTCGTCAGCCTTGTCATGCACAGCCATCTAGCTCAGCCCGTTAGCTCTTCAGCCTGCAGAAGAATGAACGTACATTTTCCCATACTTCTACAAGTAGAAGATTCGGACTTTTTTCCATACCTCTAGCTCACTAAAAGTAGAAAATTCATACCGTCCTGACTAACGGCTTTGAGGCCTTTCAGCCGTGAAATGTGTTCTGATACTCAGAGGACCTGAGTAGCCACAACTAGAAGATTGATTCCATACAAAACCCACTTCTACTCTGTTGTTCGTTGTGAGTGTTCTGCAAATGAAAATACTGAAGATGTATTATAATTAACACTGCCTTCTATACAAACATGGGTTTACTATATACATGGATGTACTTCTATTGTGGTCACTCACACTACACATTGCTCCATAAAAGTTTGGTAAATTCCCGCGACGCCGAGTCTTCCGCCTTCTCGTACTCGGATAGCAGGTTTCGTAGGTATTCGCTTGCTGATGTTAGAAGTCTCCAGCTTTATCATATTATCCTATTGTGTTGAGTACGCCAATCTATCGTTTTTACCCTTCACGACGATGTCGGTAGAGAATGTTGTAATGTGGCCTAGAGGATATTAAAAGAGGATGACATGGATGAGCCCTCCTAGAGCAGCTGGCATTTCCTATGGTCATGGTCAATTTTTCCCCAGATCAGGCCAATTCCGGAACTGTCAACGGGACTCTTTTACACCAGACTTCCGAAAAACTCCTATCCTACAATATTGCGGTGGAGCAGACCTAACTAGAAACAACAAAGACCAGAGAAGGATAGAAAAAGAAAAGGTTATCTATCGAGTAAGTTCTCATTTGCTACAACTAACTACTTAAGCGCCGGCGCTATCGTGGTCCTACTATATTCGCATAAAAAAGCCATAACAACGACATTTGCTCTCTTCCTTCGCTCTCGTCGTTCCAAATGTGAAATATCCCGTGTTCTTTGGCATATAGAAAGACCAAATTCACAGCCTCACCCAGCAAACCTTGCTTGCATTAGAAGCCGTTAATCAAGAGAAACTGTTGTAACTATTCATAACTTGATGATTAACCACAGCGGTCGGAGCCGATGTAGTCATAAGTTGATGCTCGGCCTTCGGCAGCCGTGTGTTTTCACTCCTGGTCTAATCTTGACTATAAAGCCGCTATTTCTTCTCAAATGATCTAGTTGCTTCTTTGTTTGTATTGATGCGCTCCGGGCAACGCGTACGATCTCGCCGGATTTCATCTTTTTGGTTTCGTGTGTTTTGTGCTATGGTCGGTGTTGCGACTATGTTACGGCTAGCCTTGTTAGTCACGCGTAGCCTTGTAAACGTGGAAATCATTTGGATGCCCACAAGTCTGACTAGCTGCATGCTTTCATTCTCAGTAATCAATCTACTTATCTTGTTTGCGTCAAATAAAATATCGGTGGAGCACCCCTCACTAGGAAACAAAATAAAGCTGGTGGAGCATACCTAACTAGAAAAAACAAAAACCGAAAAAAGCAAGGTCAGGCAAGAACTTATCTACTTCATATTTCTAGATAAGCGTTTGCGTTTTCCTGTCTTAATCAATTGCCGCATCCAACAGGTCCTTGATTAGCGACTCACGCACCGCGAAATGTACCAACTCCGTAAACACCGATGCCTGCGATTGTGTGTCAGCATTCTCAGCACGACTCGGTTCCAAGGCACGCAAGTCTTTTGCTAGTTTCTGCTTGAGATTAGAGGAATCAGAGGACTGGATTAAAAGAATCAGGGGCCTGTACTAGTCGGAGGCAGGGGCACAACGAGCCATCCCAAGAAATACAAAGCGTTTTACTAGTCGTCAGGGACGTCTCTGCTCTTTACCTTAACCACGAAGCCCTGTGTCTACCCTCAAACCTGTTTCCCTTCCTTCCATAACAAGAACAGCTTTGAAAAGTAGAGGCCGATAAGCTGGAGGTGCCGGGAGCGACAGGCAAAGGGGCACCAAGATCGCTGAACCCTGCGCTGAAGTCACGTGCTCCGATAAGGGAGTTAGACGTGTAGGAAAATCTTTTGAGATTGTCAGTCTAGAGAAAGAATAACAAGGAAGAGGCAAGCTAAGCGAGCAAGACAAAAATGATGAGAGTGACAACATTATTAACCCTGTACTTGAAGTATGTGGAGAAAACCAAAAAAAAAATTGTGTCCTTAAAAACTTCGTGCAATCTGGGGTACAAAATGCTAGCTCGAATGCGACAACAGCAACACGGCGAAAAAACTGAGAGCTGTCTTCTCCTTCCCGCTTCCCCTCCTGCTCACTCGTCGTTTCCTTAGAGTGTTCTTTCGGCGCCTTCCAGTTTGCAGCTCCATGGAGGACGAGTGTATCTTTTTCATTCTATCTAGTACAAAACTCTGAGCGACGACAACTACATACTTGAAGAATTATCTTACCCCCTCTTCACCCCTGAGGACAACACACTAGCTACACATCACAAAATACAAGACAACAAGGTTCGTAACGTTGCTCTCGTCTGCACCTGTATCGAACAGAATTTCCGTCAGTTTCGGGTACGATGAACCACCTGTGACCGAAGACGTCGCTCTGCGTTGTGGAAATTAGAGTTTAATACAACTAAAAGTTTCCCTTGTATACGTAACATAGAGGGGTGTTGGGTCTTTTCAAATGAATGGACGACTAAAAAAATTGACTGACACTAAAACAATTTATCGATAAATGTAGAGATGTTTATTACAATTTCAATTTATTGATTCTGACTCTCTTCCATTTATCACAGTATCTTTAGATGTTCGTTGTAACTTAGTAACTCTCGACTACTTGTTCATCCGCCATCGTCTACTTGTTAATCCACCATAAGTATAGTCGCCCGTACTTCTTCCTGCTTTTGCTGGTTTAAAACCACCACTCATTGCTGTGCTTCTCACCAACATTAGCCGCCTTGTGACCTCAATCAGACGCTTCGCTGTCTCGAGAACGCTTCATTCTTAGATCTACACTGGAGTTCACTCCTGAGGCAAAGCATACAGTCGTAAGGGAGAGTATAGTTACGAAACCCAGGGCAGAATCGTCTTCAATCATGGGTAGTTACTATCCCCCAACAATACCCCCCCCTGGATATAGAGAAAAACAATAAGAAATCAAACCTATTCCTATTCCCCATGAAAAATGTTGTCTATCCTTAGATGATGTACCAAGGAAAGCCATAAAAGTGTGTGACGTAGGGACTACGTCGCAGCAGACCTGGAACCGCTTCCATCCATTCAATGCAGCTCTCAAGCTCGCTCCCTTCCTCTTTCCTACCCGAACTGCCAGATCGGCTGCTTGCAGAGTTGTGCTTTAGAACTTTCAGGTTGTAGACGTAGAAGATACTGACAGGAAAGAAATCTGCATAGTAAGATAGACACGAGGAATATCTAAATACGAAGAAATAGAAATACTAGAAGATCTTACGTTGTACCAAGACGGGCCCTGTGGATGTGCAAGTTCTAGTTTTCGTCTCGTTCATCTCGACCCCTCGTCAGTCACAAAATAACGGGGACATAGGTAACAAAAACAATAAACTAAGACATAGGTAAAATTGTGAATCATAAGATAGATTCCTCCATTGTCTTGCAAAAGCGGTTGGCGGCATTCGCGAGTTGTTCCTGAGGATGAGTCAACAGGATCGTCTGAAATGACGCTGCTAGTTCCTGGTCAAACGGAAGCTCGGCAAGAAATCCTGAAAATTAGAGCAGACGAGAGAAAAAAAATAGTTGGGTTTGGTTAGGGTAGGTCAGGTTAATGGGGATCCTACACATCGATCTCGGTCCCCGGGCTACTTGGCTCGACTAAGACCTTACTACTTTTCTTTAAACTGTCATGACATGACTTTTACTTACGCGTATGCACTATAATGATGTCTCTCACATGACAAACCCATCTCGTCGAGAACCACCTGTGATAGTAGAAGATATGAAGATATTATAGTTCGAGACATGATAAGTGTCAATATCATGACCATCCTATTTACACAGCGCGAGACTGTAGTCATGTCATGTCATATGTCTCCGATCTGACCTACCAAAGCAGCTTTGATGCTTTCGACATAAGAGTTATGAACATGCTGTAGCGCGTCCCGCAGAAAACTGTGCATGTGTAAGTGCAAAAGCCGCAGAAATATCTGTGCCAAGAAGCGTGCATCGTGCACCTTGAAGTCCAAGACGAGGCCTGTGATAACCGCCACCAATAGCGGGTCCTTGTGTTGCTGGCGCCAGTAGCTACGTGCTAGACCCTCTTTATCCGTCTCCCTGAAGGTTTGAAGGTCGATATGTCCGACACCCACTTTTTCCAGAGCATTGAGGTATAAAAACGTCCGGAAAAAATCCCACAGATCCTCCGCTGGGTGGTTGTGGATTAGAGCAGCTAGCACAGGTGATCCAAGCCTGTTTTCACATGTTCAAACCTTCTTCTGAGAAATGATCTGGAGGAACGCTAATCTGGAGGAACGACGCTAATAACAAACGTTGCCAAAATCATCAATGAGATGAGAATGACTCATCGACGAGAATCTTAAGTACACAGCTAGAATCTCCGGCACCGTTGCTATCTGGAGAAGGCAGCAAAAACAACGGCAACAGGCGTTTGTGAGTAAGGAATCGCGCAGCAGCCAGTGCAGAAAGAGTTTGATGCGGTTTCTCAGCTCCGCCGATCCGTCTGAGGCAGTGGCTCCACCACCCGCTTTTTTCGAGAGACCTGTATCTGGCGAAACTCGACCCCGCTTCAAGGACCCTCCTTTTGGCTCCGTTTCTGATGCCGATGTCGTCGTTGTTGCACCACCACCGCGCGCTGCCCCCGCCGAGCTCGCTGCGCCAGTACCTGCCGACTCTGCGATATTATCATCTGACTCGGTGTACTTTCGACCGGCACGTGCATTTGTGGCAGGCCCACCAGACTGGGGAAGACGGTGAAGATCTGTGCCGTATCTTAGAGTGCACCCTTATAAATATTCATCCTGAACACCTTCATGCGTATCCGTTTTCCCCCTGAAAACTTCTCTCTGTCATGTCATGTCATGATACCTCGGTTTCCGTCCTAACTAACGGGGGCATTGAGGCCTTTCAGTCTCCCTGTACCTTCTAAGTAGAAGAGCAGCGACGATGACTTTGTCTAACAAGATGGAGCATTATAGGCGAAGCCATAATTGCTGAAGTTCCTCCGATGTTGGCGCTACACCAGGCGCAGCAAGCAGAGCTATTCTCGCAACCATCTGTCTTTCAGCCGGAGACTGACACCACAGCTCCGTCAGCGCTGCGAAGGGGTAGTGCTGACGGTTCTTAAAGATAGAAGTAGGTCATTAGTCGTCTCTGAATGGATCCCCTTTCTCTCCCTCATGGTCCCCATGATATCAGGGAGAATCCACGCAGTGCGCATCGCACGGGCAAGATAATGATCTACTTCTCCCCTTAAGATTCGTAGTTCCAGGTCCTCCAGACGAGCCAGAGGAGCCTCCATATGAATACTCCCCCAATTTCAAAACCGGCACAGTACCAGACGAGCCTGATGTTGTAGAGGTACTTTGGGCGGTTTTGCTAGACGAGCCAAGGCCCGGTTGCGAAGATCCTGCCGTCCCTGTGGTCCCAAAATGAGCACTACTTGACGAAGAACCTCCTACAGACCTTTGCTCTGCTGGAATCGACGACCCAATCCCCTCATTTCCAGTCGTACTCAGTGCCATCGTACTAAAGGTCTTTTCTAATTCGTTGATCTCCGCTTGTCCCGCCGCGTTGTTCTTCACGAGGTCAGACGGATGCCAATTGGCGGTCGTGAGCCACAACCTCATCAAATTGATCCTCTCAGTCTTCGGGTCGTAGCCTTTTAGACCTATGCATAGTTCATCTTTCAACTGCATCTTTTCAGTATCTACAGTATCTAGTATTCACGTGGAATACTCTTGAAAGTTGCATCAACCTGAAAAGATGAACTACAGTCAGAGCCTTAACCCTTGCCGTCGCAGAATTCTATCCACTCTTCCATGAAACTCGTTCAAACTCTTGCCAGTCCGTGGCGCCAGATACCAGTAGATGCACGACATCCAAGCGACAACTCCGAGTTGCAACAGCACGTTTTCGAACCTGTCCCATCCCCAGTCTCTCTTAGACAGGTCGCACCAACCTTCGTCCATCTTATAACATGATGCATTCGGGAGAGGGCTCTTTCCCCTTGAGAATAACCCTCTTCAGGATGCATCAGAAGATGGATAATGGTAAGGGTAAGCTGTAACTCTCAAGTCTAAGCGTGATCGAAGGAGGGCTGAGGACTTCACGAGGCGGCTCTTCTCCTCCTGCAGCTGCCTCAAGTGCACCCTTCGATTCGGATCTCTGTCAGGCTTCTTTTCCATATCTCGGATCTGGTACATTTTAGACAAGTCAGTTGTAGCTACTATATAACTTTTCTTTAAATCCCTAGTCGCGTCGTGATATCCATTGACTCTTCCCGTCATAAATGCACATCCACTCGAAGTTTGATATCACAGGGAAGACAAGATCATTCTAATTCATCGGAACCAAAGCGTCTCAAATGATTTCAGGAAATTCATGATGAAGTACACCCACGACCCTTAAATGGTACTCAAATCACTTCTGGACATTCATGATGATGAAGTAGTATTCAGTATAATCCTTAACTGTCACTGCACGTGCAGCTTGCTCAGCACGGAAATCTGCCACGTCGCAGAGCTCTGGGGATAACTTCAACTGCTTCTGGATGACCTCAGCTGCGTTACGACTGGTTGCTTTGTCTCGAATCTCCTGCAAATGCAGTACCAATTTCTTCCCCAGTCCGCTTGCCCCGACAGAGTTGTTGATCAAGTGCTTGAGAAACTCTGTGTGCACCTCGTCCTCCGATATGCCGGCCATGTGGCAGGTAAGCGGCAGAATTCGCTTTACCCCTTCCTCGCGGGCCAACTCCGGCCGCAAAAATGTCCATCGTCGGTCCCTTACTAGCAGAAAATGCCACGGCAAGCGTGACTGCGCCAGCTGGAGTAAAACGCCCTCAACTTCGGGAGGCAATCCCGCATTTTTTCGCCATGTACCGATTTGCGCGATCTCCTTTTCTGACGGCTTGGAGTAACGGTGATAGCGCTGCAGCACTTCCAATAGTTTCTCATGCTCACTGGCCTCACGCGTTGTGGAGTGCGAGGGACCGGATGAGTCTGCTCTCTCTGGTCGTCTCGGGAAGGGATGGGGGCTGGAGCGGCGTGTTGGCTCACTAGACGCAGCACCTGCAACAGGCGTTTTCTGACTACGAGGAGTGCTACTTCCACCTGCTGTCGCTCGCGCTAGTAGCTCCGTCAGATTGCTCGTAGCCTCAACGTTGTTGATCTTGTTGCTGCTTTGGTGACTCCGCGATGAAAAATGGTGGCATGTTATGATCTAAAAGATAAAAAGATTACTAGTAAAACTGCTACTTGATTCAGCGAACAAAACGAAACAAGAAAGATACGCTGGTTTTTACTCAAATAACTACACAACTAGTACTAGAATGTCTGTACCTAGTCAAGTTAAACAATTCATTGATTGACAGATATTTATAAGACAGCCTTTTTTCATACACTCGTGGCTTGTGCTGGCACTGCATTGCTTCCACGCGACACTTCACCTAGTGCCTGAGCGTTTTCGCCTTTCAACGTACTGTCTGGTGGTGCAACTAAGGAAGCTCCGCCAGCGCCAGGACTCCGTTCGCACAAGAACCTCAACACGAACCGAATTCGCTCATAGTCGTACGGCGAAATCAATGCTAAAACGTGCTGCAAAACCGCAGGCGCGTCGTCCAAGAAAGCCAAATGCGGTGGAATCCTTTGTTGGTAGCTTTGATCGAATACTTGCCTGTACACCTCTTGTCCCTCGCTTGACACCTGCACTGTCCAACAGCGGTTTTTTGGTGGCGCCAAAGGCGTCAGAAGCATCAATTGGACCCACAAGGCCAATACTTCTTCTTCTTGGTTAGAGCATAAAACCGTTCATTCCCTTACTCAGGATTCATGACTTTCTCAAGAAGATCATCTCAAGACGGAAAAAATACAGAAAGAATGTCCTCCTCTACAGCAACAAATGACTTTCTAAATTATGGTCTGAGCCTTAATTCGAAGTCCGAAGTCCTGCGCGAATTCCAGTACTGTCGGTAGGGAAAAATTACTCTTTTTCACGATTTGCGGAAGCAGTTCCGCAGTCAAACGTTGATCTTGACCATCAGCAATTAAGTCGAAGGGCAGATCGAAGCCCTTGAGACGGCTGCTCCACTTCCACGTGGTCTCGCTCTTCTCCATCCGCAGTTTTAAGTCGTCTTTTTAAACCTTAGAAGCAAACTAACCAGGAACTAAAGTGTGCTTTTCAGAAGTTTACCAAGAGGCAGCTGTGCATCTAAGAAGCACATCACTATCTATCTTCTAAGCATGAACAATCTCTCTAGGACTAGTTATGTATCAAAGCATAAACGATCTCTCCAAAATCAGTTCCATTTTTCAACATCATTTCTAGCGCTTAAGGAGCCTTAATCAACAAAAAACCCAAGACCCGACCCAGTGTGCTCAATTCCTGCATTTTCAGAAGGGCACCTTCCTGCTCGATTTGCGTAATCGCTTGCTGATAGACTTCGCGACAAACATCGTGCGTAAGGCAACCTATGCTTAGAGGGCAGAGTGTTTATGCAGGACCGATTATGGGTTATGGATCTTGCACGTCTTCGAGCACCCTCGAAATTATATCCCTTATCGTCAATTATACGTTCTTGCCACCTATAGGTATATTTATAAGGTGTTCCCAGCAAACAAAATTCCTTTCCAGTGATGAATCAGTTTTTCCTTCAAAGCCCTAACATATACCCAAGAAAGAGCAAGGCGTCTAATGTTGTTCTTCGATTGCTTCCGAAAATGACCGTTACAGCCGATTCCTGGCACAATTCCTGGTACAAATGCGAATTTGAACTGAGGTTATTGCGTGGCGACACATCAAAAGTGTCGAGTTCCCACAGGCCTCGCGCTAACTTAGAGGTTCCGCCATTGCATTCTTCAGAACATCCCCGACTTCTTTCTTCGTGGGAAAGAAGTCAGGGATGCTAGTAGAGGATGTAATACGGAAACCCATAACTATCGCCTGTTTCGCAAAATCTAGGCATCGTGACGTTCTAAGTAATTCGTAGATCGTTTTGATAGTTTTCGGTTTCTTTTCTCCAGAAGAACCGGACTCCTGAGCACCGCTAATGCCGGCAGGAAGGGAAAGATGCTGACCACCGCGTCCTCCACCAGAAAGACGCCTTCCGGGACGGCCATAGGGCTGAGGTCGTCCGCCGCGTCCGGGGGTGCTCCCGTTGGAGGTGGGGTTGTGAAATTGATTCTTTCAGCACAACGGAGTTGTTCACGATGCCGACGTATAATCTATCTACATCTAGTATTTTGTGGACCATATCATAATTTACACTGTTGTACAACTTTGACTGTCCTCCTTCCAGTACCAATAACGCCAAAACAAGTTCTTCCAACAACAAAGACCTTAACTCCAGTTGAGAGCCTGTAAGGCACCACTCTACCCACCATCGACTGCGCACGTCCTGCTGCAGATGAGTCCTCTGCACCTGCTCCAAGAGCTGGAGTAAGTGACAAATACTGCGGTTCCGACAAAAATTCTAAGGCCAGCTTCAGAGCCGTTGGTCCCGGCAATAGACTAGCAACTTCCCTATACTGATCTGCAAAGAGCGTGTCAAATGCGTCATGCTGGTGTAGTATTAGACGCAGGGCTTTGGAGTTTCTGTCTCCCGTTTAATCTGCCTTTCTCCCCTAGGACAGGCAAAACAAACGGTAACGTGAACACCTTTAACCTACCCTTAATAGTGTTTCAACTGCATGTGAGTGCAGCACTGACAGGTAGGTGCGAGGCGCCGTACGAAGAACGTTGGTGTCGGTGTCGAGGAGGTCTGAACTCAGTAACAAATTCAGAGCGAAATGTAAGTCGCCAGCGTAGGTGACTAGAGGTAGAAGCGATTGCTCTGTCTGGTACATGGAAGATGGGGAGGAAGAACTGGCATGACCCGATGCAGAAGGATTGCTGGAGGATGCTCCCTGATTTATCATGTTGCCACTAGAAAGTGCCGTGGACTGCACCATTCCTGCTGAGCCAGGATTTCCCGTACTAAAGGGCTGTTGCTGTAAGACCCCTCCTCCAGAAAGGTTTTCGGAACGAGAACCACACCAATCTAGGCAGTACGTGAGCAGATCTAACAAATGCGCAAGGTGGAAAATCAACACTGCGCAATTCCGCTGATTTCTTCCGAAATTTTCCCGGAAATGCGCCACCACGGTGCGCAGGAAATTAGAACTTAGCGACTGAGAAAATACCATTGTCGTCTCCATATCATCGCTGCCTTTTCCTCCCTAGTACTAGCAGTTCTAGATGAAGCAAATATTTTATTTAAACCATTCTTAACCAAATCAAGCAGCTCTCCACTGGTTTCGCGAAGAGTGTGGTCTTTAGGTACCAAATCCATGGTAAGTCGCAGAGAGGCGACTTGCCCCCGTGAACTAGCCTCACGCACAACAAGCTGCCAGACATACGTGCGTCCTAAGCCCAAAAGGTCTGCGAGATGTTTTAGATTTTCATCTTGTTGCCCTTACCTTCGGGAAGAGACTCACAGCCCGTCAACTAGTATACTTATGTTCTGATGAAACAGTGCATTCTGCCAATATCCGATTTTTATGAAGTTCACCAAAGATTCTAGGTTTCATAAGTGCAACAATTTCGTGAATAGCCCACTCGTCGCAGTAGTCGGGGCGGCGTTGTTCAGTCCGTCATCCGTTGATACGAGACAACCTAATGTTTCCATACCTTCCAAAAATCGCTGGACCTCATCGGACGCGTGCCTCTCAAACAACGCCGGCAGCAGCTGCTCGCCTTTACTCGCTTGAGAACTGCCTAGTAGCAACAGAGGATCGATGCAGTAGAGCGAGAACTGTCGCTGCAGCTTCTGCAACCGCTGTAGGGCGTCTAGCATGCCAAAGGTGCTCCAGCCGAAGCCGAATGCAGCTTCCTACTCTTAGAGGTAGCCCTAAAAGTTATCGTTATCCATCCCTGTGGAGATCCAGATCCCTCAAGAAAATCCCCGCGCGTCTCCCTTATGTTCGCTTCGGACAGATACGGCTGAGGGATGCCTACAGGGATTGACTACGGGTGGCCTTAATCTTCCTCTTCATCAACGCATTCGTTGGACCAACTGGCGCCAATGCCATCCCTAAAGGCTGACGAGTTATGCGATGCAAAACTGTCATCGGCACCGTGTAAGCCACTATCGTTGGCACTAGCTACATGCAAATCCGCGGCTGTTCTATGAGAGGACTGCAGTGCGTTTTTTACTGCTTCTTCGGTCGAGCCACGACGCCGACTGCGCAGTCCACCGCTGTTGCGTCCTAAACTGTCGGAAGAGCGCCTTCGTTTTCGATGGTAGAAGTTAATGTCGCTCCAGCTCTTCAGACGGAAAGTATGCTGTATTGCTGCAATAGCTAGAAAGCAATGCTGATCGGCCAACTTCTTCGTATGTGCTGGAATTAGAGGTAGGTTTTTGGTGTTCGTGGGTTCTCCCGCTTGTTATGGCTGTCCCCACCTAAGGGAGAGAGCCATAACAAACGGTAACAATAGTGTCACCTTTAACCTACCCTTAATGGAAGCGTTGCACTCGCTGACGCAGAACCTGTACTAGTACTGTCCATCATCCCTGCACCCGACGGCCTGTCGCCGGTCATAGGATGGTCGCCAGAAGCCGCCTCTTCGTCTCTTTGCTGCTTGAGTTAGCGAAGGGTGGTATGCAGGAATGCAACGATGCATTGCCGTTATGCAACGCATTGCCGTTGCTTATTCATCTATGCAGAAAAGCCAGTTACCTTTTTACGTTCTTGATGACAGTTCTACATTCAAGCCTCATTTACCATCTTCTATCCACAACGACTACGAAGACTGTCAAAGAACACCATAATTTTTCTTCCGCAGCCACCCTAAAGCCTTTTCTTCTGTTTTCTCCTGAATCGCTAGATTCCGAAGGAAGCCGCAGCAGAACTCCACTACGCCGTCGCACACTTCCAAACACTGCTCTCCTGCACTCGACAGGACGTTTCGCAGCTCAGTTTCCAGACTGGACAGCGTTCCTCTGTCCTGCGACGATACTATCTTAGTAGCACGCAATATTCGTGCGTCAAGCGGCGTCAGAATGGCTCCAGGAAAGACGCGCAGCAGAACAAGCGCGTCTTCTATTAGAAGACTTCTCAGCGCTTGTTCATCGTCTATAACATGCATCCATGAAGAGTATCTTCGCAGAAAAGCAAATACTTTCCAAGGACGCACGCAGTCAAAGACGAACTGTTGAGGGCCTTAACTCTAAGGTAGATTCAGACTGCAAATTGTTCAACAGGTAGAAGGCGACGCGCTGTGCGTACACGCTGTTGATCATCACTTTGGCACTCAGGTTGTGTTTCGAAAGGACATCATAAGCATCTAGAAGTCGAACCTGGCCATCAATCTCGTCTTGGGATTAGAAACGGACTCAAGATGGCTTATAAACGCTCATCATTCATCTACTACTTGGATGAACGTCAAAGTGTAGGAGTAAGAACTCGCTCATATCGATGTTTTTCCAGTATACTCGCTACTAGGCACTCCTTGATGCGGGACATTATGATCATGGCCATTGTAACGCAAAGCCTTAATTCAGTTCTTGTGGAATTTCGGTACTATTCCGGCATTCCGCAACGATGGCCGCTAGCTTCTTGGATCCGGGTTTGCTTGCGTCTAATGTGCTATTACTAAGTCGCAACACCTGCAACAGTGCTCGCGCTTTGACTGTGGGCTCGCAGATACAACTCAGGACCTCGGTGCTGCGCTCGAGTTTCCGAAAGTTGTTTTGCTCACTTCCACCAACATTCATTTTATGCTGTAACTGCTCGTGCAAGGCCGTTGCTGACGTGGTGGGTACGCCGCTCATTTCCTGTTGGACGATGTAATCCAGCAATGCCGCATCCGCGTCCAACTCGTGCCGCTTGCAATAGGGAAAGACGTGGTGCTGCACTTCGTCGCGCAACAACGTCGCAGCGCCAACTCTCTGTAGAAACTTGGCGATAACATCGCTTGGCCGGAGAGCCCTCAGTTCCGCCAAACGTACTCCAAACTGGTGCTCGTCTCGCAGCGCGCGTACTTCAAGCAAGTCAAGAAACAAAGCGCGGAGTCTCCCTTCGTTCCGGTCACAGGCACGCACCTGTTGTCTAGTGCTTAAGGCAACGCCAGCCCATAGGTTCGCGCGTCGTACAAAAGCGTCAGGAAACAGCATTCGGCGTGGCGGCTGAAGTACGGCTGTAAGAAGCGCCAGAGCATGATCACTCCCATGCAGCTTCTCCAGATTAGTCCCCCGGTCCGTCAGCCACAACACTAGTCGCCTACGCGCATCATGTCTCGCCGTCGCTTGCGACAACAGTGGTAGCACCTGACTGCCGACCCAGTCTGGAATGCTGTTCGATCCTGAGGAATGCTGAGCCAACGACTCCAATGGAATCGCTTCTAGAACGCACATAATTTCGCTCTGTGAAAACTTGCAACCATGTCTGGAAAAAATCGCAAGCATATCGGGCAATCGTTCTGCCTGTGCAAGCTGGACACATAATTGCCGGAGTTAGAAGAATAAAAAATCAAAAAAAATTAGAAGAATTTTTCAAATCATTCCTTTCTTACTGCATGGTGCTGATCTTCACCATTTAGAATGCCTTCCCTCCAAGAACCAATCAATACTTCTTGCTCTACATAAGGCAAGGATGTGAGACGGAACTGCTGCCACACCGCGGGTTGCCAGGTCTTTCCCGCTGCGTTGCCAGCTGTTTGTGGAGATTCACAAGAGGAAAACTATCCCACAACTAACAGGAGAGGACAATAACAAAATCAGAAGACAGCGAAGAAAGTAATTACTATCAAGCAGAAACAAAGTTCTAGAAATACTTTTGCTCGCAATAATTGCCAGTTCTTTGAGCTTCGACGCACCTACGCATAGTCCACCTTGCTTTCCTCTGCCAGAGAGCGATGCGCGCTGCGTGCTCTTGCTCCCACCAACAAAAGCATCAAGCAAATGTCTCAACTCACCCAGTTGCTCGAATGTAGCCAGCCTTGCCAATGCCTCACTTATGGTCAAAAGCGCACGTTTGACGTCCTGCACCTTCGGACCCGAACAGGACTGCAGGATTTGAACCACGCCTAAAAGCAGCTGGCGCGTCTCCTCTGGGGTTAGAGAACAACAAAGGAAATTTTGCCAGGGAAGCAATACTTAGAAGTATTATAGCAACGTGTTTGTTGTTGATTCAAAATGTCGTAGCAACAATTTTAGGATACAAGTACAACTAGAATGCAGTCACTAGCAAATCCCTCCTCATCGTACCACAGTCGCCAGTACACAGCGAAGCACTTGGTTCACAACGAAACCCGGCTGATGGTTGCAGAGACGGCGAGCGAGGTTCAGGATCAAGACGACCTGCAACTTGAGATCGCCCTGAAGCGACCGCTCAACTGCTATCTCCAGCTGCCGTCTTAATTGGGAAACAGTAGCGTTCTTCTCATCGAACTCCAACTGGTCCGCTGCTTCAGGAACGGAAGAAGCCTGAAATTAATAGGCTGTTGAAGAAGAACTTATGCGCGGAACTCGTGATTATGGGTGATTTTCATGTTACTATAGCATCATCAAGAACCCAAGGACAGTACCGACTTCTGCGCCACGAGGAGATTTACAGTATCGTCACTGGCAATAAACTTGCTGCTACAGTGAAGCGGTAACGATGTGGCCGACTCCGCAAACACCAGTTGGCCGTTTGTTATATGTCGAATCTCTATCCTGTTCGTCAGGAGACAGATCGTACCTGAGTGAAAAGTAGTCATCGCATTCTTCTTTCATAATCAAGGAGTTCAACATTGTGAGCGAACTCTACGTTACAATCTAAAGTTGACTTTCTAGGATAGTACTTGTACCTTTCTACACTCGTACCTTCTACAGGAGGAACATAGAAATTTGCTTCCTCATATTCCTAATACGTTCTCCTTGAATCAGACTCGCTGCTCGTATGCGTTCTGGCGTCTGCCACTTTGAAAGCAATAGTAACGCTTTGGCGTCGTACAGCGCTATGACACTCGAAAAAACGAGTAGCAGAATGGGTGCCAAACCCGCGTGTAGTTTCACTGCGTCCATCAGCACACAATCGCCCACCTGCACCGTCGATGTCGGCATACTGTCTCGTAACGGAAATTAGAGATGCACAGACAGAAGATGGTATGCACAATGAATAGGGATAAGTAGATCATGATAGACACAGTCACAGACAAAAGATGGCATGCACGACAGGGATAGGCAGAAGATACCAACTATTGGCTGTTCAAATTCAAAAATGCCCAACATGGCCTCGCAGTAAGACGTCAACATCAAGTTCAACTTATAATGAATGCAGCCTTACTCGAAGTTGTTCGCCGAGGCTCCTTTGCTATACAATAGCACCGCTGAGTCGCTTAAAGCGAACAAAGAGGTTGCGTCCGTTGCGGAAGGCAGCAGGCTGAAATGTCTAGCGTTCGGAATATGCAGACTAACGCGACGCATGGACTGCAGCAACGTACTGACTGCGGCTTTTGCATCTTCAGCCTGGGCATTTTCGAATGCCCTGTCCAATTCTGCGCAGTCTAGACCTTCAAAACAGCACAGCACGTTTGACCGCAACAAAAAAGCTAGTACGAAAGTGGTATTGGTGGTGGTTCCTTTCGTTAGAGTAGATATGGATGATTAATTTCCAGCAACGCTCATCAAGTTGCTTTTCTCAGTATCCTTCAGTCCTTGTTAGGAACAACATCATGTCATGTTCTCGTCTTCTTTCTGTTCCTGTAGAACAGGGCTTCACGATGATTTGATTTTTCAACTTATTATCCTGTCAAACTTATCACTGAGTCCTTCTTCTTCTTCATCTTAATGTATTACGCGCGCTCTCCGCAGTCCCAGCCACTGCCTTGCGACCTACTTGCGGGTGACACTGTATCTCGAGGAAGCCAGTAGGCGTGTCCGTCAAAGGTTGCTGCCAAATAACACTTCTCGATGCCACATGTACACAGTGCATGCGTCCCTGACTGTCTCCGCAGAAGAGAAACTTCCCGAAAGGCTCCCAGCACACTGTATCCACTGAAAAATCTCGTAGAACGAAATCTACACTAGTAGAAACGCCAAGAGAAGTTGCGTTCGACCCAGAGCTTCCCGATGGAGCACTCGAAGAACTAGAGGACCCTCCAGAGATGAAACTGCCAAGCATGCCCTTTGCACTGGATGCTTTTGCAGTAGGTTTAGAGAAACAGACTCAAACTGCTGAAAGCATTATAGAAGTACTTGTACTAACATATATGAGTTGTTAGGGTGAAAAATTAATCATAGACGCTGGAAACAAAGAAAAGCTCTAACGCTTCTGCTCATTCTAGTAGAAAAAAGGACAATGGCATGATCTCATAAAGCTCCCTGAAGTTGTAGAAGGCTGGTCCGTCCGCACCGTGCATACTGCCAGCTCTGACTGTCCAAGTACACACACTTTGTCGCCGTTAAACTTAGAGAGCGTACTTGCTGTTCGTGTTGGACATGCTTTTGTGGCAACTTCTAGTACAAATTAATCCAATGCTAAAAGGTTCCCTGCAGCAAAGAAACTGTATCAATTAAGTAACATCACAACTACATAGGATATACGTCAGAATGATTTTGCTTACCAACAACAGAAAACTGCTGCGTGCACCTCACCAGCGCTGTAAAAGATGTTGTATATTTCGCCTGTCGTAAGAGCAGCAACAGTATGAATCCGGCTGACCTCCAGTTCCGGAATCGAGTGAAGGCGGAGTCGTGCCTCGCTTCCCTCTGGATCCGGTGGTCTGGCCCCACCACGCAACATTTTGGTGGACCGCGTCTCACGGAGGTGACGCAGACGAGGTGACGGACGCAAGCCCCAGACGCAGGGTAGCTCTGCGCCAACCGTGGTAACGCTCCGGTCGCTGCCTCGCCAGTCCGCTCCGACCTACCACGTCAGTTGAAGTTGTCCTCGAGCTTCCATTTTTACAACTGCACGCATGCTATCAGGCCACAGGGAAGCCATTCGAATTTACAGGTCGAGTGGAGACGACAATGGTGCCATCTTGATAATTCTCTCGACTGTTTATCGTCGCATGAAATAGATGAATTCAAAACAAAGTAGTCATAATTCACACATTGAATGCAGAGTATGCAGCAAAATTGAGCAAGTGATAAGCCAAAATTTTTGACTACCCGTCCCTAATTCTTGTTTGAATCGTGTCTTTTCTTCTCAAAGGCCACCCTATGCTTTATTTTACCGCGAAAAAATGTGAATACTTACCCTTTAAATCAGCAATCCAATGATCTGATCCTTGTTGACCTCTTCTTGCACTTTTTGGCTTTTTCAGAGCGGATCTCTTTAGACTGGGGATAAACAAAGCGCAAGCTGCATGTCTTTGTCCAGCGAACTACAAACAATTCAATAAAAAAGTGAAAAACACGTACACTGTGCAATGTCTCGTTGGAGCAAGGCCACGAGTTGCAGTGACGAATGACACTCGTCTCGGATGAGGGGCCCGCTTCATCTTTACACTTGTTTACGCTTGGTATCTGTGCAAAAATAGTAAAGGAAATCCACCTCACAACGCAACATCTTGCAACAGCAACAGTTTAGTGTTTCTATAATGCGCACTGACTTCACACCGTCAACCTAGACCTATACAAATACTATCAATGTTCAAAGCCCTAGTTTTTGATCGTCTTCAGTTCATGGCTTTGTGTTTCTCTTCAACATCTGGAAAATAGAAGAAACTATTCACAACATACTGCTCTGTAAAAATATATGAAAGTGGGAGTTACAACTCCACTGGTTTGTCAATCTCCTTGCTAAGTCAATTCTTCATGCCGCCCTTGCCTACTCTGGTTTAACGATCCACATGGTGCCCCTTTACTTGTTCATAACAACTTGAGGGAAAACTGGAAAAAATAACATTAAAACATTTCTTCATCATAGGATTTCCTCATCTTCTGTCACGCTAGTGGCATATTTGATTTTAGCCATAGATGTTCTCTGCTTCTACGGCAATGGCATATTAGCCATGTAATCCGCCGGTGTCCGATACATCACCACAGGTTCATAGAATGGCAGTGGTGGCGCTGGTGTCGTACCAGAAGCCAGCGCTGCAGCTGCTTTGGCGGCTTCTGCAGCTGCAACAATTTCTTGCGGAGAGGGAGGATCCGGTGGAGCGACGGAGAGATTAGACGCATGCAATTATCCCTGTTATCATCGTTCATGATGACCGTAGAGACGTGGTCTTGCTTTAACACAATACGCGTTTAAACTAAGAAGTTTTCTAAACTGTAAGTTATAAATGCTCACTTTACCCAATAAACTAAGAAGTTTCATGCTCACTTTATAACCCAATAGTTCTTTGATCAAAATGTCGGTAGGTCGGCAGGTGTTCTTGAGGTTAAGGTTAAGGTTCTTGTCGACGCCACTTCTTTACAACATCATCTGAAGAGGCTTAAGCGGTCCGGTTCTTTGAAATCTTTACATCATCAAATAGGCAGAGGTCGCTGCAAACATTCTCTTCCCGTGCAAAGATGATCATGTAGAGAAGAAATACTAGCACTGCTCAAACCATAAGAAAAGGCGCATCAATCATGGCATGTTCTGCAGATGCTTGTTTCAACGACGTGCCACGCAGTCCAGGGTTCTCTGGTGGCGGGGGCGGTGGAACGACACCCGGAGGCGGTGGTGGTGGCGGAGCTGCGCACATACTGTCGCAGCCAACAAGCTTTCCGAGAGGTTTTAGAAGATGTTAGGAAGTGACTAGATTACAGCAGAATGATGAAACCTATTGATACTGGTGCAATGTTGTGCATCATGATGACATGGATGGGCATATTTTCAGCTGACAAGCCATCGCCATGGTCGGACCCCAACCCTATCGTACACAATAGAACAATCCATAACTTCCCTTCAGACCCTGTTGCAGGGCAATCCCATGTTCCCGTTCCCGCTACCTCACAAGGAGCACACGCAGAAGCTGGCGCACCGTCTCCGCCTTCGTAGGAAAGATACATGCAGCGCGAATTCGACGCCGTACCTAACTCAAATTAGAGCTTAAATAGTACCTAAAAACATGTTGCTTGAGAAGCATAGTGGTCCAGTTGGTCTCGTGCTTTTCCCCTACAAAGATGAAAGCATTTCCATGAAGATGCTTCTCCTGAGTATAGACTTCTTACTGGAGCTTCTAAGATGCCTCTCAAGATGAACCTACCTGTGTGGAGCCATAATCAAAGCATTGGGCTTGTGTAAGGAAGCCACTCTCATCGATGCATGCGTACTCTGGCTGTCGAATCTGCTTCTGATGAGGACAACGCATCTCACACTCCTCGACAACGTCACCAGAGACTGTCGCGCCCTTTGTTTGTGGGAAGGGTTGATTGTTTGTAGGGATGGCACGACCACGTATGAGAAAAAAAATACGAGGTTTGTTGTATCAATTAAATTCAACTCGTCTGGGTACTTGATAAACATTGCATCTCTAGAGTTGCTTGTCGACCAAAATTTTCGTACACATTGACACACCTCACCAGTCAGTCGAGGTTTACCTTATTCCAGCACGGGACTTCCTGCCGATCGATGTCACAGGCCATACAGTACGACTTCGCATTTCGAATGCCACCACTTTGAAGCGAGACCCACATGCAATCGCGACCCTCGACAGACAAGCAATCTTCTTTGGAGAATGAAAGGGTAAACTAATTGGAGTATCTTCAGGTACAACACTTAATCGTGACAGTATCTTCAGGTACAGCACTTAATCGTGACAGTATCTTCAGGTACAACACTTAATCGTGACGGTTTCATCGATAGAAATACGGTGTACGTATATCGATCATAACCACGGGGAAAAGGTCTTATTTGCCTAGTTCTTCATAACAATGGGTTCTGGCCAATCGAAGTGCAAGCCTCGGGTCCCTTAGCATTTCGTGCATAGCATTAGAGACCTCCAAAGTCCATCTTTCGCCTGCATAATTCCAGCATTCTCCAAAAAAATACTTTTCAGGTTGGATGCAACCAACCGTATATGAAAACTGAAAAGTACTCTCGGATACTAGAGTCTGTACTCTACCGAGTTCTCGGTATCTGCAGCCTTAATAGTACCGCTCTCGTGAGACCATCATTTCAGTATCCTCATCATCCAGCGCTTCAGTTGGCATCGCCTGCAAAGGCGCATTCACTAAAAACGGACTGCCACTGACAGGGGCTATCCGACGTGACGATGTCGTGGACGCACTTGACGAGGTGGATGATGTCGAGACCGTTTTCGAGAGTTGTAGTGAAGAAACGACGTGTAGTTGCCCGAGAAGGAGTAGCCTCCACGTTGACGAGAGGGTAGGCGGCCGCGGCTTCGGAGCCGCCATCCTGTGCCTCATCTTGAGCTTCGTCATCTACTCCAGTAGCTCGCTGAGTCGGTCCCAGACCGTGAGGCTACTATGGGGAGAACCAAGCAAGAGGGCACATCTTTTCATCACGTCATTTTACAGGACTATCCATCATGGGTTGACTGAACGAAGAAAATGAAACCTGTAACTTAGCGTTAGAAAAAGATTCAAAGTATCAAGACCGTTTCCCTTACTGCTTCGTGGGAGAGCAAACAAGAACCAAGGTTTGCGTCACCTTTCCTCTGATCATCGGATCCAAAGGTTTTCACCTTCTTTCATGAAGTTCTATAAGGACCTTTTCAGGTGACAAAACCGTTGCCGTAGCATCCTCATCTTCTCTAGTAGGTTAACAACCACCTTCGTTTTTACCTCCCCTCATCACAGGAGATAAAACAATATTGCTGGTCTTCTTCCTCCTGGTCATGCATTTTGTTAAATTGTTGTAATCCAGGTTTCGTCCATCTCTACTGCTATTAGTGCACAGCCGACAATATGGAAAATTATGAAGTCTGTCGTCGTCACGGACCTGAAAAGCCTTACCCATGACCTCGAACCAAGCAGACGAATCGGCTTATACTGCTTTAGCATGTTGTGCACAGAAATGAAAAACGGCAAGATCTGTGGTACTGGTGCGAGATGTCTCACGGCGCATTTTCATGATAAGCAAGTCTTCAATGAATCAGCGCCGTCGAACGATAAATAAGCATCTCCGCAGAAAAATTCACGCAGTAGCTTGACACTGTTTCAGCAAATCCGCGTAATAGTTGCACTGCGTTACTTCACCTGAAGATTTTGTCATTTCAGTATTAATTCGGTCGTCAACGCAAGTCAAAGTAATGAACGACAACAGAATAATGAAAGTTCTTCCTCGACAGTGAAAGATCATCTTCTATGCTCTAGTATGACTCCTAAAAATCATTGAAGACGCATACATCTTTTTGGTACCTCCTGCCTGACCCATGCACTGCTTGAGCCAGTCCCTTTCGTTCATACATTTATCAACAGCAGAGGCAGGAGCAGCCGGCGCCGCGGCAGCTGGAGCATCCTGTTAATTCATTGGTACGATAGATTGATTGATTGATTAACCGATTCAATGAATGATAGATTGTTCTTTTTCCACATTGGGAGTGCATTGAATCAAGAGTCTGGTACGTCAATGACTGATAGATTGTTTTTTTTCCAGAAGATCAAGAGTCTAGTACGCCTTTAGGACTCTTTGTAGAAAGTAGACCTAAGTAGAAGTAAGCTTTCTCCAAAAGAAAGAAGTACCTCATGACGATGCACCACTTCAGTCTGACGTGGACCCATCATTGCATCCACTGCACGGTTCGCTACGGACATACCTAGAAGAAGGTGAATTTCTTGTCTTGATAGACACTGAAGAAGGTGAAACTCAACTAACATCCAGTGCAATCTGTTTCAGAACAAGACGACCTTAGCTACGTAGAATTTAATTGTGAACGTAAACCTATGCCAGAATTACTTGTAGTGGGTGGTGTTCACCTATGATTTGTTGTACCGCAGCTATGCCAGTAGCGACAAAAGGCCAATCTCCTATAATTTCTATTTGAATCTCTTATCAATACCAACTCCCGCAGCCATTCCACTGGCCATAGATCCTGCTAAGCCAGACATCATGCCGCCTCCAGCGGCTGGCATCGGTGCGGGTGGAGCCGCAGGCATGGGTGCAGGCGGAGGCGGAGCCGCTTGTTTTAACGCTAGTTTTTCACTATCTCTGCATGAGTGCTATGCCGTGCGTCCCCCTTAGTTTCCCCTTCAAATCAAGGGGGACTCCACTCAGCATACTCCACATGGGATAGTGACAAACTAGCCTTAACTGTCGCGGAGGAGCCGCTGGAGCGGGAGGCGCACGTGCAGGAGCCGCACGTGGCGAACTACTACCTCTGGCGGACGAGCGACGCGGCATTTTTCGCAAACCTATATGTTGAAGACTCTCTGTTAGGTATAGACTGTTGAAGACTAAACTCTATACTGTTGATCAATGTTCGTTTAGTATAATGTTGATGGATGGACGATGTTCCAGGGATGATCATGTTGGTAATTTTGTATACATGTTGGGGATTATCATGAGGTTCGATGATTTTGATAAGACGTCTCTGATTTCCTCATGTTCAGAAAAAGCAAATGGTTATTCTGATATTGGCTAGTCCATACCTTCTTGCTTCATCTCGTTGCTCTTTACTTTTCTTCAAATGTGAATGCTGTCAAGTGCGATTCCTCACTCTTTACGAGCACATAAAAATCTCTTTTCCCACCCCGTAAGACCACCGTAAAAACTCAGCATGAGAGAACACGAAAAGAGTTCATGGGCGGATTCTAGAGCCTGTAGTGCAGAACATCTACTTTGACACAATCTGTGCAAGTAGTTCGCAACTTCATCTGTGCATGTTTATTCACTCTCAATTGGTCCATTATACGACGAGACGTTATACTCATCTAAACCCTCAACAATTACAACTTTCTTCCTCGTGATCTGTAACTCCCTTCTCCTCGGTTGTTGCTAAAGGAATCCTGAAAAAAAGGAATCATCCTACCTCAACCTGTCGTGGTTATTTCATCTACATGAAAATGTTGTCGCACCGCTTCTTCGAATATCACATCTCCGCCTGGGAAGCTAATCGAAGAACCTGCTCAAGCTAATCGAAGAACCTGCTCATGTCCACGGAGATTAGAGCCGTGCTAGGGTGGATATCAATGAAGCTTGAGTTGTACTTAATTAGCATGAACGAAATGTCAAAAGTCCAATCATAAATCTTGTTTGTCCCATCGCTTCTTGAAGAGGTGTAGGAATTCCTTTAGGGCACTCAACAGTCCCAAAAACATCTGCCTGGTGATTTCCTCCGTTTCCGTTGCAGCATCGAGAGCTGAGACGCCACTCCTGGCACTTTGTTCGACGCCCTCGAGTTCAGCTAGTCGCCCACGCTGCGAGACAAAGGCCTCGTAGCTTTCAGGAGCGACCTCATCCCAAAGATCAGATTTCTCATCCAGAGCATTCGTTAACTTCACCAATTGATTGGGGAGATTAGAAATCGGCTCTTGACCTTGGCTCAGTACTAGAATTTTTGCGACCTCGTCACGGAGTATCCCCTGGATTACTCAACGGTTCTTGTAAAATTGAAACATAATAACGAAAGCCAAAATCGGTGGCTGACCTTGTCCGAGGAGCATTTCACGCCCAAAATCGTGCACTAGCTTTCTCCTCAACTGCAGTTCTTCTTTCTGTTTCATCGAAGCTTCCAACGCAACCTGAGCAGCGACTCATTTCTTAAAGCTTTGCCAACCTCTTATACTTCTGAAAGAACAGTCAAAGTTGCAGTAACTTTCTACTACGGCTGCACACCTGATGAGAAACATCGTCTGACGTTTTGAAGGTCGTTCCTTAATTTTCTTCTCCACCGAACCGCGTTGATCGAGAATAGCCAATTTTGCATTGCTGTTTGCGTCTTGATATTCCTGCACGCGGTCGACTCTCTCCTGGAGTTTTCGCTGTTCAATGCCACTTGCTTGCACCGCCAAAACGGTCAATGCGTCAAGTTGGTCCCCCAAAGTCACCGTCTGCGTGTCTAATTTGTGCAACTGCTCTCGAAGATGTGCCAGCATCTGTGTGCTTTCGTCGAACTCCTGCTTTCGAACTGAAATTGTGTCGTCAATCTGCGCCACTTCCTGCTCTAGGCTCAAATTCAAAATATTCAATTCAGCAACGCCCGCTTTCTGCTGCTGATCTTAGAAGATGATCGATGTTGAGCATCTTGTTTGTGAGTGTGAGAACGACCCTAATATTAAACTGTAGTACCACTGATCCTACCTGAGTACTAATAAAACCATATTCCCAAAAAAGAAGTAGTGACAGCTTTTCTATTCCATATCGATTGTTCACCGCTCATTGTATTACTCACAATTTATTTTGTAACTTGCCTTAATTTTTGTTACTCGCAGGATTCCCCGTCTGCGCAGCTAAGGCAGTCTTCTCAGCTAACTCCTGTATCTTCTGCATTTTTACTTGCTCCTCCAATACATGCTTCAATTGTCCCAGTGTCGCCTGGCACTGCCTTGCATGAGCTAGCTGTTCACGGAAAACGGCCTCGTTGCTTTTGCTTAGATCATAATGTACGACATCATAGTTCGGCTTCGGATTGAGATGATAAAGTACTATTGGATGTAAAAGACGCGGTCTTAACATGCCCGTACGAACGAAGAAAGTGGTGCGTCGAGGACAGCCGCGAACCAACCTAGTAGTAAATAAATGACACCCCGTAAAATGCTTTTTCCGACACGCCCGTCTGCCTCAAAAACGCTGAATCCGCGAGACCCGCCACGTGTAAGGCCATCCCTTCGCATCACACAAAGCGGCGTACATCGTGGTGGCGCAGGGCCACCCGCGGTTGAAAACTTAGAGAATCACACTAGAGTATCGTGTAAGGTGAAACATGAAGTCCACAATTGAAAAAACCTGTTTCTATTCCGCTATAGAAAAGTGCTGTCTTCTAATCTAGAAACACATATATTACGTATTCCATTCCTAAGTCCGCTGTCTGCCCAATTTTGAAGCATGCTTCCCCACTGATAAACGCTGCCTTCTCGGGTCACCGCAAAAGCACTAGTCACCCCAGCACCAATGCGCACAACATTGTTACTCGGATCCTCACTACGTAAAATGAAAGTCCACCAACTTTGGATGACCGAAAAACATAGTCTTAATTTCATTTTGTTTCTTATTTCGGACACAAATCTTCTAGTTGCGGCTTCTATTTGCAGCGGCTCATCACAACTTCTATTATCGAAAATCAAAATCCATATTTTAAGCAGAAAAAAGAAGAGCAGGGGATCGATCACTCGGGGATCAAGAACCACAATGTTTGCCGTAAGAAAAACCGTCATTAGCGTCGGTTTGCACGTGTCCCTATAATGGCCTAAACCCAATTGACCCTGCTTGTTGCGGCTCTCATTAGAACAAAGGGCATTCTATGGTACTTACCCCAAAGATAGCTGCCACCAATGCCAGTGGTGGAGCCAACCTAACTAGGAAGTGACGTTTTTAATTCAAAGAGATTACTTACTTTAATACTGGTACCGTAAGAGTAGAAGCCATTGGTACTACCCTCATTGAACTTAGAAGCAAGGTGGCTGGTACTATGGAACTTAAAGATAGATGGTGTGTAGGTCACAATCACAAAATATGGTGAAGAAAGGCCTTAACCCAAGCATAGACTTCGCCCATTGCGCAAAGTACTAGGCAAAAATGCTTCCCAGCGCAAACCTGCACAGCCTCTTTGTCTCCCAACTCATTCGTCCGTCCCACCACAAAGGCGCGACCGCCTTCATCTCGCATGACTTAGACTTTGGTCAAACTACCTGTTTCTAAAAACTTGACTTAGACTTTGGTTTCTAAACACTTGAACTTCTTTTTCAAATACGTGAGAAGGAATTTGACTAATAACTAGTAAAAGCTGTGGTCCGTAATTCACGCATCGTCTGCCCAACTGCCCGTATCGATTGTCGCCCCACGTGTAGACCCGGCCAAGAATTAGAAGCGTCGCTGTGATACAGTGAATCTCGCGAACCATGTAGCATGGTCGAAGATGGTTCTAGCTTCAGCTCTCCAACTTACAGTTGTAGTTCTTAAATGATACCTATCAATTTTCCTATTTTTCGGTACTCGGTTTTCTACGACTCGGCTATTCCACAGTGTTTGATCTGCGAGCGACAGGTACCATGTTGTAGTTGTCTACGTTAGGTTAGGTGTGGGCCAACTAGGTAAACCAGCAGACTTTAGTGGCTAATGAAGAGCCAAAAACACGACTACACCTGTCGTAGTTGTCTAAATCTAACACTCCCAATGCAAAGTTCCTTCCTAAAGACAAAGAGCCGAGCTTCTTACTAAAGTACCGTAACAAGCATAGCAAGAAATCCATAACTGGTCGGACAACAAGATACCATGCTCGGCTCCGAGGCTTAGCTGTACTGGCTTCTCTTCCGCACGTTCCGCCGGATCCTCAAGCCTGCAAACAGCTCCATTGTTCACGTAGGAGCACCACATATTTTTGTCTTCTACGCAAGAGCAGGGCGAATACTGTTCGCCGTCGACTTAGAAGGACCAAATTCTTTGTGGCGAATCGTCAATCGAGCTCTCAGTAACTTCGTTGTCCTTCCGGTGGGAGCAGATGCGACGCATATTTTTATTAATCACTCGACTTGGTACGGTATTTTACTTTTGTTGAAAACACATGTTTGTTGTTGTTATTTCTTGCTATGTTTGTTACCGTACTTCAGTAAGAAGCTCGGCTCTTCAGGAAGGAACTTTGCATTGGGAAGGATGCTTGGCGTTTTTGGAGGAACCAGGAACTGATGTAACCAGGAAATTATGAGACTCTTCTCCCTTTCCCTCTCGTCACGACTGGCAACACTGCCGCCAGAAGCGGAGACGTCAATCTTTTCGTGCATCGCGGTTCAGGAAAACACTCTATGGCAGGACGAGTCCTTCTGTGTGAGTTCCGTAAATGTGCATGAATAGCGAAATCTGCATAGATGCTCGGCCGTAGCTCCAATCTGTCCTCGGAAACAAATCTTACATTTAACTCGACTGAGTCCTGCTTTGTGTGCTAACGACAAGAACTGCGACTTTGGAAAATGAAAACGGCATTAAAGTCGAAGATGGAAAATGCATACCACGTCGAAAATAGTACAGGCGCATCGAAAATTGAAGCCCGCTCGAAAATAGAAGTAGAACCACCACGCCGACAGGAGTAGTAAAACCATGTCGTAAATGAAAACCAAGTCTCACAATTCATCTTAGATAGATGATTGCAGTTAAGACTAATTGCAGTCTAGCTCCAGCACAGTCTGCGCATAATCGCAGCCGTGCGTTATTTCTGCCAAATTTCGGAATGGGACGCCACCAGTAAAGTGTCTAAACTTTTCTTGACGTCTCAAGATAACTTCAATATGATCCATCACGCAGATCGATGGATCCAACTCCCGTTGCCAACCCTCCAATGTCAATGCACTCACGGATGCGACTGAAACTTAGAGGAGAGGGAAGAGGGAAGTGGTGGTGGTGGGCTCCGTTTCCTAGCTATAGCTATCCAAATAGAAGATAGCGATAGGGGAGTAAGGTGCACTCGTCTTCTTGGCGAAATAGAGGGTCGGAGAGTAAGGCGCACTCGTCTTGCTGTCTCAGCTGTGGAGGGTAGGAGATTGAAGTAGTAAGAGATGAAGTGACGTGGCCAATCTTCTTATTAGATACTCGTCTGCCCAGTCTTGCGTCCAAACTACTCTGTCCAGCCTCCACTCTACAAAATTACAGAATTAAGAACCGTTACAACTACTTACACATAGAATCTTATCAAGATGCAAAGATAGCGCCGGAAAAACTATGAATGCCGTAAAACACAGTCGGGTGCAGTTCTATACCGTTTTTGCGGCAGCAGTCCAGCGTTTCCTTGATGACATCGCCGGCGCGACAATTTTGATAGCGTGTAGGATCAAGTCGGATTTCTCTCCACTCTATACTTTTCTGGTGGAGGTCCTTGGTTAGAAGGCGAGCTCATCTTGAGTCAGAGTCTTTCAATGAAGTTAAACTTTTAGAACTGGTCTGTTTCTCATCTTTTTTCAATGAACTTCTAGAACTGACTCTGTTGTAAGTATATCCTGTGATGAGTCAATAAAAGTGTTTGATAGAGTGCTGATCATGTAGGATGGAACGACTAGGTCATCGCAACACAATATTCATCATGAAGGTCTGTCTTCTAGAAGATAGATGGAATATACACCATGTCGTAACTCAACAAACTGTGCATGACTTTCTCCATCCTCACATGAAAGCGCGACAATGGCCTCCGCAAGTTCCTTGCCGTCGTAATTTGCAATAGCACGAAAAAATCCCGAGACGTAGTCCTGCTTCTTCGGTTCGATGCAGACTGAAAGACCCGCATCTAGAATGACCAGCTCTGGCACTTCGCTGTAACCGCCTATTCCCAACAAATGGTTTGAAATTAGAACCACAAAGGGCTTGAAAAATCAGATAGAACAATCATCATTACGTCTCAAGTGATTGCACAGAATCACCGTCAAGACGAAACATTTTCTGCTAGAACAAGGCGGCAGTTTACTTACTTTCTTTCATCTAGACGAATGCTCGCTCGAGGTAGCTCTTCCTGGTGTGTTATCTTCCTTTAATCTAGGTGGAAAAAATAAAGTACGAGTGCTTATTTGGTTATAGTTATACAAATATACTTGCGCTTCAACAATTTCTTTGAAATACACCATGAACGGGTCACATCATTTTCCGACTAGAAAAACCTCATAGTAGATGAAGGAGCAATACCACTTTATCTTCATAAATATGCCAGCGCCTTTCCTCTTGCCCAGCATCGGTAAGGGCTCCAACACCAGGGCCACTTTTTTGACGTCAGTGGCGGCAGCTCACTCTTCCTCACTAGAATGTTACCAGGGTGTAGGTCTGCGTGGATAAAGTTGTCGCAGAGAAAATTAGAGGATAGGGTAGCAGAGAGGAGGATGGGGTAGTAGAGGATAAGATGGGTCAACCTAATTCAAAACAGAAGTATAAAACTAAGACACGAAACAACAACCCAACCTTAAAGGTCTACAACCGTAAGATGATACTCACTCTTCACAAGTCACAATCATTTTTCACAAGCTGCCATAATGATCATCTTTAGCAGTGCCAGCAAGCCGAGAGAGCCGAGCTTCTGCACGGAGGGACTATCCAGTGCAGGTACGTTCTTCGTATGAACGCTATTTTCATGATCAGATGCATCTGATGTTGTTGTCGGCGTGCTGGCCTGCTGTGGTTCTGTTTGCCTCTGCGCACGACTAGACCGCAGCAGAGGCATCCGAATCGACGGTAAGGAACAATCCGACAACCATGCAGAAAAGGTGTTTTGATGCTCTTGTCCAACTCCTCCTTGTTTCGTAGATGGTGATGACACTGGTTGACCTCCGTCACAAGGACTTCTACTTGTTGTCTGTACAAGTTTCTCTTCAAAAGAACTGTGAAGAGGTACAACTGCATGAAGAGGGGTACTCCTGTAAAACTCCGATGTCGTTGTAGTAGGTACATTAACTTTTTGTACCATGTTTTCTGTACTAACTTGTAGTGGTGCCTCTTCCGCCAGCACAGCAGTGGGCGCAAGGCCTGGCATGAGCCATGCCCAAATATTATTCTTGTTTCTTGATAGTGAAGATCCTGATGATCGCGCACTACACAACGGACCAGAGGAGCTCGAAGATCCTCCGCACTGCAGCCTGCTCGTCTGGTCCGCGTGCGACGTACAAAAATTCGCTGCCGACTTGTCTTCAGCATGACCACCTTCGGCAGCACAGGTGGAACCTCGCACGACACTTGTACTGTGTTCATCACCACTAGATGAAGATGTTGCGACGTCACTGCAGGGACCCATCACCCTTGTATTTGCGTCAGTGGAAGACGTTGCGACGGCGCCTCTGTCGGATACGCTCGTATTTGCTGATGTTCTGTCGGACAGACTCTTGGCTTTTCCTCGTTGTTTTATGCGAATATACTCGTAGATACTCGCACCCGGTTCAAAAGACTCGATTAGGACTTCCGATGATTAGATAAGCGCAAACCTTCATCAGTTTGCTAGGACAATTGCTTTAGGACAATTACTTCTTTTTCAAGACACTTGCATGATCACTGTTGCTACACATTTTTAGAAGCATTGGAGAACATGTTACACACTTTCTTTATCAACGGAGCCACTCATGCCTTAACTTGTGCTGCACCTAGGTGTCGGAAAGCTGACATGCGGCCACTCTCTGAAATTCTGGTTGAATTTCTCCAGGTTTCGCCCCTCCTTCTCGAAATCCAATTGCTCACTCATATGAGTCTCGAACTGTCGCATAACGCGCGTGAGTCGAACGCTGGATAAGGCTAAGCGCGTCAGCACTCCGTCCGTCGCTCGTGAAAGAACGGATGCGGTTAGAAAAAACAAGTCACTGGAAGATCTGCTTCTTCTTCTTCACTTTTCAACATACCAAGATATTACTTATAGTCTCATTACTTATAGGCTGGCTCCAAATTACCGCAACCCTACACACGCAAATGACCCAAAGATATCACCACCACATCATCAACTTCAACAAGAAATGGTAGAGAACTAAAGGTGCTACAACCCTCGCCAAGCAAAGTCAAACATTATTCCCATAATAGAAGACGAAAGTCGGTAGCCATCACCTCATCCAGCTTGGGATGTTGCACTTTCACGACGACCTCGCCAACGTCACGAAGTTGAGCACGGTAAACTTGCCCTATGCTTCCTGACGCCAGTGGGGCTGCCTCAAGTTGCAACAAACTGTTGTCGTGATTTGGGTCAAATCCATGGAATGTGGAAAAAATTTCCGAGTTCTTTCGAACCAAGAAAAATCACCCTTAGATCTGTAGCAGGCATGCATGCATCGATTGTGTGACATAAGTAGTCCCAATACTTTGACTTAAATATACCATACTCAGTAGTGGGCATTTACAGCTTATGACTTTTACCTATGAATCTCCGATCCAAAGTTTTTCTCGAGTATCGCATTAGTCTCTTCCGCACTGTGAGACGGCGCGTTCTGGGTGAGCTTGTGCAGCTCCTCACACAACGGGAAAGGGAACAAATCGTACCGGTTTCTTAGAGTGTAAAGTTCGGGAAGTTACCATTGTTCCTGCCACTTAAATCTCTTACAGCTTTGAAAACGTACTCGCTTCTACTCAATTGTCCTCAACACACTACTTGAATCTCGGTCTATAGCCTTCACATACTACTCCACTGTCCCCGCTAATCATATCTTCTTCTCTAGGGTTATAGGGTTTATCTACCTAGGTTAGGGTTAGGGTTAGAGCCGTAATGTACTACTCCACTGTCCCCACTTGATAAAGACCGGCCCTGCACGCTCCAAACACACCCGCAACCGTTGAAACCACCATAGCTGAAGATTTCTCCTAGAGTTATAGACGTCGATTTTTAGGTAGGACAGGTTTCACATTTGCACTACCTGGATCTTCTGGATCCAAACAAGCAGGTAGGAAAAGTTTCAGTGGTGCAACAGACTCGTAATCTCGTTCGTCCTGCTTCACGTTTAATACAAGAAGATGAATGCTTTAACAATCCTTCTTAGTCATCGTGTAGACTTCTTCTTCAGAAAAGCCATAAGAAGTCTCTGCCTCTCTATGATCCTCGCTGTCAGCGACACTTCTTGAAGCATTGAGCCATGGGGATACCAGGAGGCACCAGGGCGCCCACATTAAGCAAGGAAAAAATATCCACGAGAGAGATAAGAAGCGGTAGAGCAAGGCAAGGCAAGACCTGATTTGAAGGAAGATATCTCTACTACGGTCTAGTTGCATCAAGAAAAGCAAAGCAAAGGATCGACTAGTGTTTGTAAAAGCATGAGTCCTTCCTACACAAGACATGCAGACGCACACAAATCTGACTTACGCCTCTGTCCTTGCAACAAGCGAACAATGGTACGGTTGAAATTTTTCCCCAACATTTTGCCGCTCTTCACGGTGTCTCTCCTTCAATCGGTCTAACTCCGTACTCTTTGGCCCCTCTGCTGCTGCTATGGTCGAGCTCAGACACAAGAATACCCCACCAGATACCACTGAATAGCGAAACATCTGTAATTGATTGCTTGAAGGGACACATCTACGAGATAGAGGTAAAAACTAACCGGTTGTTTTATTTTAGTGCTTTGAGCGAAACATCTGTTGTAATTGAAAAATTCATTGGTTCTAAAGTACTAACTCGATTGACGTGAAGTGGTACAAGCAAAAGTTGTATCGTGAGTGACTCCATAGTATCTATGGTATTGTTTCTAAAATGCTAGGAAGGGCATAAAAACGTACTTGTCCTCCTCTCGCGCGCGACGGCCCGCGGAGCACTGCATCCGCGAGCCGTTTTCGGATTGTCGGCAAAACCATCCTCGCGGCCAAGGGACCCTTTAAGATGATGAAAGACTGCCCGTAGCGCCCACTTGCGTCCGCGAACGTTTTCGGAAAGTTATGGCGTGCTCTTTCAGATCATTGAGATTCAAGTTGAAGAATGCCGAGCATGAAACCACAACCAAAAATGCTGCAAAATAATTATTTACTTCATGAATCACATAATTGCAAGATTACGTGGTGAATACAAGTGCACGACACATGTGCAGAGGCATGCTCTTTCAGGAGGCTTCCTTCATCATACGTCTCGTCTTCTTTTTGGGGAATTCAAAATAATTTGGCTTTCATCTACTAGAACTATAAGCTCTGCTACTAGTTTTTCCTTTCATCTCGACAATCCGGCCACTGGGGCAGAGGGGCTGCGCTGATCATGTGGAAGATACCGTTGACGTAAGACTGAACAAAAAACGATATGAATAGACTTGCTATGGATGAATGATCTCATCCTGATAGATCGTATGCGTATGGAGGTGATCGTGAAGCAAGTAATCACAGTCGACTGCGTTACTTTTCTGACACAAACAAGTTTCTTGTCTGCATATCTTCTTTGGCCTAGCCACAGACAGTGCAGAACACACGTTTCTCAAAAAAAAAACCATTGATCACCTGGCGTGGCTCCTTCTGGAGTTGTCGCATATAACGCGGATGGCCTTGAGGGCCAAAATACATTGAAACAATTCGGACCTTCGTCGTCCTCGGTTCAACTCCAATAAAAATGATACATGACATCACAAATTCGTATGTCCTCTGTGTCCGAGGACTGCGTAAGCAGGTGATCTTCTTTAGCTGCACACAAATCACCGCCAAATAGCGCCAACTCCTACAAAGCATGCTAGAAACTCGAAACTGTAACTTGTTTCTCATTCACATAAAAAGACCAATCTAGGAGACCCAATGTAGGTATCCTCATCAGCGCACCAGAGAAGCATCAAGCATACACGGATCTTCATGGATGTCTGCCACTGTCTTCTAAATCGCTGAGAGGACTTTCCTAGAAAAACAACTAGTGGTGCTGCCTAGACATCATGGCGCTGTTTGAGCATACATGATGCATTCAGTAGTACATTTGAAGTCAGCAGATCGATAGAACAAGCGAAAGAGACAATCAGGCTATGCCAACCGTCGATAGTAAGGATTCATCTTCATATGTTCCCGCCACCCAATAGATGGGTGAAAATGTCTAAATCATCACAACAGTAGCGATAGCTCCCCAACAAGCTATCATCTCCCTACACACAATTCTGTCGAGGAGTAGTCGTCAGTTACACACTTCTAAACACTACAGCGCAAATGACCACCCTTTTTACCCATAAGGTCTACTAGTTTTGATCATCACCCAACACACAGAAGACCAAACCCTGAACTTATGGGTTCTAGTTTCAGTTCCCCGCGCTGGTCTTGTTACCGCCACCACGCCACTTACCGCGTTTAGGCTTCGTCTCCACGCCTTCTCCAGCGCGTGCTTCCGGTCGATAGGAATCATGATGCGCCATATCGTGGAATCTGAAATTAGAGGCAGACTAGAAGATGATCTAAAGTTGTCAGGCAAGGTTTCTTTGCAGACAGAGTTTATACGTCTTGTTCGCTCACCTGAATTCTCACTACTTGTAGGAATTGAACAAGATTTAGCTTTCAACCGGAGGAGGGAACTACAGTGCATGAAGCAGTACGAGCTGAGGGGAATCATTGCGCGTTAATTCCATAACATTTGAGACCCATGAGTTTTTGCCCTTGCCTTTCTTCCCCTTCTTCCCACCACCCTTGCTGTCGCCACCTGCACTGTTGTCGTAGAAAAACGATTTTTTCGCGTCCACGACAGGCCGAACGTAATATTCCGGCATTACACCACGCACACGAGAGTCTACCACCTCCCACGGAGTGTGGAGTAACAACCTTCGCACCTCGTTGCTAGGGGCAGCGGCCTGTGTGTGAATTTTTGTAGAGTACTTGGGGAGCGTGTACTGGAATCTTTTTTACAAAGTAAGTGACTACATCATATCTTGAGGCAAAAACTAAAAACGTAAAAGTCGGGAATACCAATGCCGGTCCTATCTCGTTTTTGAGCCAGTATTTCATGAACTCGCCTTCTGCCTCGTATTGCTTGGACTGTTTTACGATATTGAAAATATTATCTCGTGTCTGAAACCCGATTCCTGCTATAGTCAGCCAGTTTCCGGAGGAATGAAAAGAGAAAGAGGTGAGGACTACTGTCTTTAGGAAGATCGGGGTACCAGTTCAGAAACATAAAACGGCATTATAAGTGTTCAGCTGCTTTGATTATCTCTTCAAGTCGACCCGCCAATTGACACCTGCCATCGATCACCTCACTAATCTTCTTTTTAGAGACTGAAGGGAGAATGCCCTCAGAGCATACTATCAAACGGAAACGGGGTGCATTCAGTATAAGTTTTGCCATAATAATTCGACGCCACATCGTGATCCAGCAAAACGTGCTCAAAGTATTCCGCACCCCACCGCCAGTCGCATTTCAGATTAAAAACCAAAAAGCTCGCGACATTCTGTCTTCCCCTGTTGGACATGAAGCCTGTATGTCGCAGTTCCTTCATCCACGCATCCACAATCGGAAAACCCGTCTCACCCGAAACCCACGCGCGAAATTTCTCCACGTCGTTGCTCCATTGCCGCGTTCGGCCAGTCAGTCCGCCTTCGTAGAAAAAGCTAGGCCCATGCCGAACGATAGCGTAGTGCAAGAAATCACGCCAAAGTAGCTCGAAAAACACCCAATACGTGCTCTCGTTCCGTGTTCGTTCCTCCTCGTACAGAGCGAGCTCATGCAGAACGGTTCGAGCGGAAATTGCTCCGACTGCCAGGTGCATCGAAAATTTGGTGGAAAAGAAACGACCCAAAGAACCATTGCGCGTCTGCTTGTACGTCGCCACAGCGTCCGACGTCCATAAGTACTCCTGTAATCGAGCCAACGCTGCGCGCTCTCCGCCTTGAGACTTAGAGGTGAAGATGACACGCATTTTTCGTGTCCATTGTCAACGATCCATCGTGTGGTTCGTGATAGGATTCAACATCACTTGGTAAGTCGTATTTATTTCGAGGTTAGTAGTGACATGAAAATTAAGACATATTATAAGTGGAGTCCTTTTTTTCGAGGATTTTGATTTTCTTCTTCTTTCATAAGATACTCCAAATCGGTGATGGCTTTTGACGGATCCTTCATTTCACCACTGGAACCTTCTTCTACTACAACCTCTGGCAGCTTAGCGAGATCCAAAAGAGGGGCATTATGAGGCACGGCTGGCACAGGCGGGTCTGCAAGAACGTCAAATAATGGCCGCGCTATTGATGAAGCAACATCTGCTTTTTGCTCGTCATTACTCGGTGCTAGTGGCGGCATAACCGCTCCCAAGGATTCCACTCGCATCTTCGTAATACTTGTTCCAGCACCAGCAACTCTAGAAGTAGTTTTATCGTGAATAAAACAACGTGGTAGGACGTTTGCCAAATGATGCTTGCAGGTCTCGGATCTCTTCCCAACGTGACCAGACGCAGCTAAGCGAGGACAATAACGCCGCACAAGCTCGGATCCAGGCACTGTATTGCTCATTGGGTCCTTGCGTAAGCCTTCCTCGACCTTCTGGCGGAAACTAGTATACTGATCTCGGAAAGGCGGTTTTTTCGAGGTGTCTTCTGAGATTTCTTAGAGCAGTCAAAGAGAAAAGAATTAGAAGAGAGAAAGAAGTAGAAACCCTACATTAACAGATGTAGATAAAAGAGCAGTGAAACTCTATATTAACAGATGATAGAAAAGAATTAGAAGAGAGAAAGAAGTAGATAAAAAGGAGAAGAGAGAAGGGAGAAAAGAAGTAGATACTTGTGGTCTACGAATTAAGGAGATGATTGGTGTGTGGTTTATCTCCTTTTGTTCTTGTCATTGCACCTGTAAAGACTCAGAGATCCTAATGAGTATTGCAATTACTTCTACTTACCTGTGCTGAACTTATCACACTTCTCTTAATCAACATCCATGCTTTCCCGAGTTCCCTCTTTTATTGGCACCTTCGTTTTCCGGTTTCCATTCACGCTGAGGGCCCAGTTCGTCCCATCCTTCTCTAGTCGGAAAGGGTACGTTTCCAGAGGGACCATACTATCATCCGCAACTATGTGGAGCGTGGTTTTCTGACTGTTATTAGAGGAAGTACCGATATTTTGTAAGTACCCAATTTTTCTTATCAGATTAATATCACTCTGTTTGTCACTCCCGTCAGAGCATATTAATCTGTAGAACGAATGCTAGCACAGGATGCACGTTGGGAAGCCTTAATTTTAGCAGCCCTGACAGCCTTCGCTTCCTCCTTCTCTTCATAAGTCCCGAGTTCGCGAGAACAGACTATATGATCAAACTTAGATCCCAGTTTCTCCACAACGCCAGAAAGGGAAACTTCGGAGACGTACAGCTGCGAGAAGTATTAGAGATAGAAGGGGGTTGACTCATCTGGAACGAGGACTATACTTCTTCTGTCGAGGACTCTATCTAAATACGATTATTAATTGTTGAACGGGATAAACCTAATATTGTGGAGGTGAAAACTAACCGGTTGTTTTACCTTTATTGCTTTAATTTCAGTTCAAGCATCAAATAGCAGAGCGGACAACCTGTGTGATTCTCTATTTGTTTATGTGATCATGAAGACACTTTCTCAGACACCTTCTCATCACATATCCAGTCATAAGAAGACTGGTCTTCCTTCTCCATCGCTTTCTCGCCGGGAGCACATCCTCCTCCCCCAACGGCAGCCGCGACTTGTTCCTTTAATGACTTATCCAGATCCTCTAGACATTGGAGGTGAAAACGACGCCTCAAAGGCCCTGCCGAGGTAAACCGCGTCGTCTCCCCAAAGCGGTCCCATTCTCCTTTCAAATCCAACACTGCCACAAAGGAGATCGGCAATCCAAAGGATACCGCATACTCTAAAGCCCTGTTGTCGCAGATGCGTAGGTCGCTCTTGCGGTACACGTAGAGCACGCGGGCTCTCGAACTGGCAGTTGAAGAGGAGAGCATTTTGTTTGATTGTGTTCGTGTTATAAGAACTTCTCAGGAGGTTTTTGAAAGAGAAAGGTGTCGTGATATGTTCAAATTTGTCGAATTTTTTAAGAACTATTAAATTACATGGTTTATAGCAATGGCCGAAATCGCTCCAAACAGGTCCTTCTCAAAGTGACAAGGGTGGGTTAGGGCGAGAAATTCTTTATTCTGAAGATAAGGGCCTACGACATGGGAATACTGTATTCACTCTGACATCAATGATGACCTGTAGTCGCAGTGCGCCGAAAGACAAACATTGAGTTGATGACTGTCATACAACCTCTCTCGTAAAAATGTAGTTACCTGTATGCTGGAAAACGAAACTGGAACATCCACATAAGTAGATGGAACCAAATGTTGTTCAGACAAGGGGTGTTGCTTAAAGATAAAAATGCGCACACAGTAGGTACGTAGTAGAAATCATGCCTTTCTAGGATCTCGTATGACCTGTCTCGTATGACCACTTCTCGTTATCATGAACACTCTCTCCATATCCATTGTGGATTTAACTATTAGAACGAGTTCTTCAGTCCGTTCATCTCGTTTTTGACAGGAACATCAACTGTGGAGCGGTTAGGCCTAAAACAGAGGAGCCCCTGTTACCTTCGTAGAAGGACATGACATTAAAGATTCACGAACCATCACGTCCTAGTTTCTGTGAGATGCGTCTCAGAATTTACAGCACTTCACGTTCGTGCTCTTCCCGACTTGTACGCCACCCTATAGGCCGTCCCCTGAGGAGAGCTCACATCGGACTGCGCATTTGACGGTCAGTGATGAGACCCTTGATGTATAGGAGCTGGAAAACGACCAAAAACAGCAGCACGATCAGTTCAATCATACAGAACGAAGATTAGAGGAAGATTGACGTTAGCAGGATAGCGGTGCCTATAGGTAGTTCTCTGTCGTTCTACCTTTGTCCTACTCGACACTTTTCGGCTCGACGAATAGATGCGCTTATTCGCCCGATACGGGAACATAGTAACAGCTCAAAAATTCTAGACCCTTTTGCCAGTACCATAACAGTAAGCTCTCGTATTCACCGTTTCCACTAGTGTGAGATGTGCCTTCTGCCGCATCCACAGATATGAACCTTCCGTGAGAGCGTCTTGAAGCTTGCGTTTGATGCCGAAAACACTATCCTCCATACTGGTGAATTGGTGGGTATCGACATGCAAAGATTGCTGGTCACCGGTCTGGGGACATGAAAGAGGGTGCTTTTGGCCTTGTGCAAGTAGAAACTCAAACTACCAAGTAATTAAGATCCCTTTCCTAAAAGATCACGTGAGGCGATAAATCATTAGTCATTCCTTTTCCCCCCATAAAAAGAAGAAGTTCGCCATCGCTTTACCACTGCGCGTATTCTGCATTACGAAAGTGTAGGTCCCTGGTTTTGTCGCGGTCACCTGGAACATCCCCTCGACGATGTCATCACTAGGCTGCCACGAAGATTAGACAGATGGGTCGAAGTAAGTAACTTCTATCTTCAAGTAGAAACAACAACATCAAAGATTACTCTACTATGCGTGTCCCAGCACGTAGTTCTTTGTGGTGAAAGTGACTAGTCCTCCTGTACCTGTGACTAGAAGTCGTACTGTATCTCCAATCGTTTTGTCAAATCATCGTTCTACGACAACATTCCACTAACGATGATTTACCAGCACCAGAAACGAGCCCTCCATAAAGAACTGCTCCATCAGGATCGAGAATATGAAATCCGGTGAAAAAGGTATCGCCTGAAAGATCCATCATAAACATGCCGCCTCGAAATACTTCCGGACCCTTCTCTACGTCATGGAAGAAATGCCTGAAGGGTTTGTATTTTGTATAGCGTCATGAAAGTCTCTGAAGGGAGCAGTCGTATAACGCTCATGTTGATGTTGCTGGATGAAGAGGCTCACTCTAAATATGTAAGGATTGAGAACACTACTCTACTAATCCACCAACGCTGCTGCAGCCGGGAGGAGCCATCTTTTGTAGAGAAAAACAGGACGACGCTTCAAGTAGAAGTGAATTATACTCATCAAAAGTAAAAAGTACTCTTCAGAATTCCCATCGACATAGAAGCTGGTTAGCGTTTGGGGTGAGAATCCTACTAGGCCTTGATCCCAGTGCCACGCCGGCGTGAGGCCTTGCTCGTGCAAACCTGTCTGCACTCGTGAACCCCGTAGAGGATCGCCATAATCATCCTCTTGGTCGTCCAAACCTTCTCTGCCCGCGGCCTCCACCTGATGTGCACTTCTCAAGAGGGCAAAGCTTGACAACAGCGGAACGAGTGCTCTTCGTAAGTAGATGGATCTTCTCCGCCTATACATTTTGGAAGTGGTGTTGTTTGTTGTAGGAGATGTCTAGATCCTCCTCAACACTGTGCTCGTTGAAGGTGCAGTCTGCTTCTTTTTTGAGAGAAGTGTGGTGGAAGTTGATGAATTGATCTGTTTCTTTCTTGACAGCGATGTTGTACTTGTTCATGAAGAAACTGGTTTGCTTCTTCTCAGCAGGGCCGGCTCTTCGAATTCAAGACAGGCCAATGCATGTCGCAGCATCTTAAAGGGACAGGGGCTCCTCACCTCAGACAAGCAGCGTTTCCTCTACAAGCAATGGCAGGCGACGGAGGCAAGACCATAAACTCATCTTTTTGCTAGGGTGACATCAAAAAAACTATCCTCACCTCGTGGCATAAATAGTCGCCTGCGCACAAGCTTCGGTAGACACAAAAGGTTCAAAGTCGCCGAAACATTTCTCCAAAAACGCACTCTATTTAATCCACTCTCCGTAGGTTGTTGGCGGAACACAAGAAGTTTGACTCAGCTACAGTCACCCAAGAATTTCGTTGGAGAAGAACAGCCTCTCCAATACAGGTCTCTTCTTCCAATCTTCTTGTTGGATCAAAGATTCCTACCTATTCCCTTTATCAATTTGTTCAAATCTTCCGCAGCAGGCAATACGAAAGATATCACAATCTAGTTTCATATTCCAAAAATACAACAAATTTTCGCATTTCAAACGACTCTAACCACATTCCTCTCCCTTTCTTCTTGTACAGCGGCTCCTAGCACGGTTAGAGTATCGTTCGGGTCTACAGGGTCCGAGGACAGGAGATGATGCTGTTGCAGCCACAGCAAGTCTCCGACACCAGCCTCCTTGGTCTTCGCAGCGTGTAGTTGTAGTTGTTGGGCTGGTCACATTAGCGCTGTCAGTTGTAATTCATTTCCACCACGGCATGCTGGAGGCTCACTACAGTGTTTCATGTGATTTATGTATTGAAGAGTAAACTGTAAATTAGTATTTCATGGATGTGGAAGAATTCTCTTGAGGGAAGCTCAGTCAGTATTTTTTGACTGTCGAAATGAATCAGGTCAAAGTCAAACGCCATAACATGATATCAAAACCACCGCCACCAGTACCAGAAGCAGTTCTCGTTCTGGTCCTTTCTTCTTCCGGAAACGGCATACCCCCAAAGCCTTTGACGTATTTTCCCGGTTTTTCCAGCACAAATTGCACTGGAGGATGAATCTCTTGATGTTCTGGTCGGTTGTTGAGACTCTTAGAGAGTTTAATGAAAGAGCATCAATGCAAGAATGAACTCATATCTCGTAATTGCATTTACGAGATGTATTTCGTAAAGTACAAGAGCAAGATAGAATGGCTACACCAATTTACAAGTACCACAGCCTTAACAACAACTTGATCCCTGCTTTGACTGCCTCCTCCAAGCCGTGGCCTCGCAACGCCACTCCCTACAATTCCATTCACGCGCTCAAGCGCTGAAGCACAAGCGTCGGTACGCAGATCCTCTAGAAGATTCGATTCTAGAGGGACATCCTCATATCTCTCGCGAACGCGGATCCTGTCGTAAAAGTTCAACTCTGACACTCGAAAGTGTCTCCCAAGAAAACGCGACGGGTCGTAATGACTTTTTGTGGTCCACATTGATGACATAGACGATATCGCTGTTGACTGTTCTGACTGCTCTTTGACTCCTGATGTTTCGAAAAAATCTACAGGCGCCAATGAGCTCATTCCTACGCGCGCCTCCACTAAAAACGGATTTGTGATTAGCCGGTCTATAGGGTCACGCGCCTGTACTACTTGACTGGATGAAGACGAAGATGAACTGCCGCTGCTAGGGCTGGTAGGTGTTGAAGTAGATGAAGATGTACAACTACCTCTAGTAGGGGACGAAGAAGCACTTCTCTGCACCTGTTCTTTGTCGTCATCTAGTGCGACTATAGGCACCTTTCCGAATTTCAGCATTTTGTCTAGCATATAGTAGTTCACACTATTTTCGACTGGCAGCCGCACACAAGACTGGCCCCAGAATGTTGACTCCGCTCCGAACGTATACAAGCTGCAACTCGCGACTCCGTCAGCACGCGTGGAGAGGTCCGAGAAGACGGCTAGTTTTAGAGACATTCATAGCCACAACCACAATAAAACGATAACATGTGACATTTTTACTACAAAAGAGCTAAGCAAAATTTTCGCACCAATTTATTTAACAACTTGTCGAATCGATCTACCCAACGCCAACCATACCTCTTCTTCTATTTCTCCTGTCTTGAGTGCTAGAATGAAACCTCCGCCTCGTCGCTCCTCGGATACTGGTGGCCATTCTTCAAGCGCTAAGTCGTCTAGTCTCGCTTTTGACACTGCACATTCCACCCTCTCTAGCGGTGTTTCGGGAATATGCTGTTACATATGGTGTAAGGCGAGAGATAATATGGTTACTTACGATGCTGAGAAATCAAGATCAACCTGATGTGGATATTACGGCTTCATTCACCTCTACTATAAGTACCAGATTTTTCCGTTCCGTTTCCGAGAGTATAGCCACATTTCGGGTGAGAAGAGGTTGCAAAAAGGAGCCAGTGCGAACCCAGAGCGGCGCGGGCGCAACATCAATTCTGGGAACAAGACCTCCTATACCTTCTCCACGTGAGTCCACTACACGAGCACGCCTCGGATCGAAGACGGAGTAGTCTTCCTCCCCTCCTCGTCCTTCACGTTGTTGGCCTATAATCTTTGACGTCGTCAGAAGGAGCATTGGAAGGGGTTAGTCTAGTTGAATCCAATGACTCCACTACTCATTGTTCTGAAGAAGTGGATTCCTCGAAAACCAAGATGTTTCAATTTTCTGCCTTTTCACATCACAATAATCTCATCCAATTACGAATACATCAATGCAGACGCATTTAGTTTTCCTGTCATAATAGTGGCTGTCCCGAAGCGGTACCCGTGTCAGCTCCAACGCCTATCTGAAGCTTCCGTTTTAAGTCGTGCTCCTTTTGCCACCTCTGATCCCTCAGTGGCTTTCGTTCTTGACGGCGATACTTCTCAAATTCTCCACATTAGATCCACATTAGATAGTGCAAAAAATTTAAGAAAATCCACATTAGATAGTAAGAAAGACCTGCTAACTCAACATAAATGACGAGGACCTATACTTTTGTTCTAAAGACGAGAAATCTTCAATGACAGGGCAGAAAAACGAAAAGGATCATAAAACCTCCTTTCCATATTTTGAGTACAGCGTCTGCACTACTTTTTCCAGCCGCACGCGGTAGTGCTCACGCCCAGACCTCGTCCAGCCTTCGTAGGCTGATAGAGAAATCCGGTAGCATGCATACATACTCGAGGCAATGATGACATTAGATGGAAAACGAAAGTGTTGAGGTAACTTGATTTACACATGATGCTTTTGCTTGAAGACTTTCGATTTAATCATAATCTTTTGGTTGGAGGGACTAACCTACGAACTCTAATCCTCACGTCAGACGCACTTTAGACCGTCACCGTTCTTTCTTGTAAGTAGGACAAAGAAATCTGTGCCGTAAGAGCAGTGCGATACTGTCGAATGCGATATCGCTGAGTGAACTTGAACATCCCGACGCCACCTGCGACGAGCCCTGCAACACCCGCATAGTCTCCGAGACGGTAGGAATGAAGTCAACAATACTTCGATATAGGTTGTAGTAATGAGGGATCCACTGCTGGGGATCCTCTATGCAATTAGTACTAATCAATGACTAAGTCCAATCATGTGATCGGAGCACAAGCGGTGGTTGTAGTCGTCTCGTCACTGTGGAATCATCCAATGTCTGTACTTAAAAGGTGCAGACATCAAAGTATTACAAGAAGCTTACTTTCCTCTGTTTCGACGTCTGTACTACTAAAATTATGTAAGTTCTTCAACCAGGAGCACAACTGCCTATGCCATACTACATCTTGAATCGAAATACTCAGTCTTGTTGGTGGAGCAGACCTAACTGGAAAAAACAAAGACCGAAAGAAGAAAAGTCAATATTCAATATTCGTTATTGTAAATATTCGTTATTGCGGCCATACTACACCTTATCGAAATATTCGTTCTCGCGCTGTGGCATGTGGAGACGGGCTCTCTTCACCAGCTTCCCAAACTGGAAAGAGTCCATGCGTGGACCTCGTTCCATACATGGTTGCGGAATAGCAGCAACCAAGTGCTGTTGGTGAGTGGACGCGGGTGTTGCCATTGTTGTCTTTTTGGTATTCAATACGTGTAGAAGTAAGTAGTAAGTTCTACTTGTCGAGGAATATGACCACTAGCAGGAAGATGACCACTAGCACTCGATCATTGTTCTCCTAAACAATAGACAAAAACATCTAGAAAGTTGTAAAAGTGCTGGCTTTGGGGGAAGGAACCCCTAGCCTTGAAGGGGAAGGAAAAAAGAATGCCGTTCACAGTGCAGAAGAAACTGGGCGTCAATTATTCATCCTATTCCAGGGGGAGTGCCTACTTTTCTCTGATGCTAAAGCATATTGCCTCTTTTTCCTTGCCTCCAACCACAACTACTCGCCCAAGGCCTCTCTCGTTCCTCCTGAATGTCCAGTGCCGGTCGTGGGTAATATGCACTTTCTTCGACCGATGTAAAGATATAAAAGGGTTTTCAGAAAGCGTCGCGCGTACGCTTTCGTTTCAAAACTTATACGGCTCCATTGGCTTTTCGCTACCCTTTCAACGAAAGTGTGGCCTTCTGCTACTCCGACACACATTAAGGTCCGCTACTGCTGCCACACGACTGAAAGATTGAAATCTTAAAGACGTTGAGGTCGGTTCGTTGAGGTCGGCTTGAAATCACTAACGAGAGTCAACATCAAAAAAACGTTGAATACGAGGAAGTCGTACCAATTTTCAGTATCAATCACTCGCGTTCTTGTTTGCGTAGGTACTTTGCATGTTGAAGTCGTAATCAGCATAAACGTTAAATCTCTTCAAAAGTAGGTGTAAAAATAAGGTTTTTATCATTTTTGGTTCATTAAAATATGTAAGTGGTCAAAAATCAAGGTCCAAGAACAAGCAGATCGCAATATAACGAGGCAAAAATAGGACTCCTACCAAGTAGAGTTCACTTTAACCCAGCTCTTGCTCTATGAGAAAGTACTAGAAAGACGTAAAATATACAAACGAGCTCCGATAAGATAATGTATATATCTCCCCAAAAAAATAAAGGCTCCCTACTAAACAACTCCCCCGTCAAAAACGGTCATATTTTTTGCGTTACATTTTCTATACAAGGCAAAATTCGCTATGAATCTGTGGCTCCCCTGGAAGTCCGTAAATCTAAGTGATGTTAATGGACTACAAGAATTCAATTTTGTTTACAGCTCCTGCTCTTTCATTTCACAGCGCGATCTCCATGCCTAAATCTGTACATTTACTCTAAATCAAAATCTTTATTTGTTGATACAACAGAAGGAGGGAGTAAAAAATGCAACGTTTCGTCGCCTTCGTCTTGTCTACTTACACTGGTCGCCGTTTTTTCGACTCCAGTACCTCCTTTTTGTGTGTGTTGAGCGTCAAAATCAGATCTTGCAAGTCACTTGGGTCCACGTCGTTAAAGGCGACCTCCGCTGTCGCTGATGTGCTTGCTGGAACAGCTGGCTTCTTGAGAGATCTGGAAGTCGAGGAACCTGAAGATCTATTTCTTGCCTGACCACGACTGCTAGAAGTTGTAGAACTTCCGTTCATCAACAACGATGAGGCACTCTTGGATGAAACTGCGGCGATGTGATCCAGTGCTTTTCCTCGCGCTTGCGCCTGGGCCAAGGTCACCGACATCTGGTTCACTTTTTTCTGGCTTTCTCCACTTCTACCGGCCAAAGTCACTGCTTTTTTGTACAGAACAACTGCAGCCTCGTCTTGGAGCAGCGTTGGCCCAGTGAGTCCACCAGAAGAAAGTTGGCTAGATGAAGAAGCAGGTCCACGGCCAGAAGTTGCACCAGCAGTTGTTCTGCTGGAAGATAGACAAAAATCTCCCATTTGTTTCAATGCTTCCGATGCACGCAAATGGCGAGAATTCTGCGGTATAATGCCTCCACGACGATCTGGCGCCACACCCACACGCGCCACACCCTTCGGCACAAAAACGTCCTTGGTTGGCTCCTTCCGGTGGCCGTTGTAATGATCGGACAGGACCTTGGCCAGAAGACGCATCTCCATCGCTGAGGACGACGAGATCATCCCTCCAGCAACTGTGCTAGGTCCAGAACTATTGGTAGAGGAAGCAGTAGTATTCATCGAAGAAGCAGTAGTGTTCGCAGTAGTATTCATCCCCGCAGTAGTATTCATTCCCGCAGAAGTAGTGTTCCTCTCATCTTGATCTCCGGTAGTATTTGACGCCTGAAAAGCAAAGTTCCTTACTGCGAGACGGGTGGCGTCGCTGCTCTTCAAATACTTGCTCATTTCGTATGCCGCTTCGTGATTCACCGCACTCCCTTTAGCGTCTTGCAAATGCTTGTAGCATATGCCCAAATTCACGTGTGCGACAAAACGACCGACCAAGTCGCTATGATTTCGGTGGAGGACGTGATTGCGCACTGCGTGTTCGAGGAAGGAACGTTTTTTAGCTTCCTCTTGGCCCTGGGTCAGCCCGCTCATGACTCCTCCGTTCGACTCCGACTCCTCTAGACCCAGAAGCTGATAATTTACTGCCATACAGTGGTACGCTAGAGCAATCCCGTGGCGGTCCCGCGCTCGCATACACAATTTCAGGAATTTCTCAGGGATTAGAGGTAGGAAAGATTCTTGGAGAGTATGAGCATTCACACAACTTCTAGACCTTGTTTGACGAAAAAAACTAAAGTTGACATTCTTTTTCCTATAGAGAGTGCTATTAACAGTTTGTAGAGAATAATTACTAATGTTGGTTCAAAGCCATAAGTAATATGGTATCGCTGCTTTGTATCGTTTGATGTTGTCGTGATGGATCCCCATCGAAATGCAGTTGCGCGCATATTGGGGTCCGGACACCTCTGATGACACCATGCTCGGCTGTGCCGCAATTTCTTCCTCTTTGACGCGCTCTGCGAGTATTGTCTCTAGTTCGACGAAAGGCGTCTGCTCTCTCCCGGGACTCAGGGGACGCTCGCCTTCCGCAATGACCAACTTCTCATAGAGAGCACGAGATAGAATACCCTGTTTCCCACTGGAATGGCAGCTGGTGCCAGTCGCATGCGGAGACGAGGTAGGAGAAGCAGGGCCGGCCTGTGTTGAGACGGGGAAGAAGGAGGTGGAAACAAGCAATAGAAAATAGCTCTAGCTAGAAGTAGGACATTGATGATAGCTTAATACTGGCAGAAGAATTCTTAGTTAAAATACATTTACACAGAATTAGTCGATTTCACAGGGCTATTCAAAAAAAGTACGTATGCATAAGTCTGCGCGCCATTTGTCACAGCACTTTGCGCAAATTCGCTCTGATGCGCTCGGTTCATAGAGTACAAGACTCGTTTCAAATCCTCGATCTTGCGTTCATTGAACAGCTTTTCGTTCAACGAGGGTCTGACGTCGTCAGCAACTCTTTTCGGCAAATTAAAAATCTGTTGTGGCATCTGCAGACGCAATACATCCGTTTTGTGCTGAGCCCAGTAGAGGACTTCATCTTGGTCCCGAGGCTTGCGCATCCGAAAAAACTCAGCTACTTGATATTCTGCCCAAGCGGAGGGAAAGGAGCTGTCCTTGGCACGATAGCCAGCGGTGTCTTCTTGGGTAAAACACCTAAATTGATTGCACCATTTTTCGGTGTTCTTCAAAGAGCAAGGTGTCATCGTCTACTACATGATCAAGCACATTTATTACTCTCAATAGAAGTAGAGATTCAACAAAAATAAAAATCCTAACTAAGTTAGGTAATAGACCTAATAGTTCTAACCCGTCCTCGTGGAACCAGAACGAGTAGTTGTCAAATAGTGAGATTCACAGACGCACAGAGTCGTTGCTATCATCTCTTTATTCCTGACGCACAGAGTAGTTGTCAAATAATGATTAAGTAAGGCTCGCGCATAAGCTACAACTGATTGTAATACTTCAATAGTATGGGTGGATCCAAGCTAACTAGGAAAAGAGAAAGGAGGGATAGTAGGTAAAGGATACTTCATAATAGTGATTTTTCAGTAAGTACTACCTTCGTCGATGAAAGTTTTCTGGGTAGAAATCTTCTGCCGACTTCGAACCCTTAATGAGCCATTGTTTTGGAGGTTCTTCATCCTTGATGCTCAACAGGACTTTGGAAACGATATCCTCTTCTTCAGCACGCGGGGCATTTGCGGCATCTCCCGTTTCTTCGGCTTGGAGAGGTTGGCAGAGAGAGGTTGGACTTGGAGAAGCAAGCATGGTGGCAGAAGATGAGCTCATCTTTTTCTGTATGGTGTTGATCTACTGTGGTCTAGTAGACGAGGTGGAGAATAGTTCAAGTTGTTGTGTTCCGTAATTGCAAAGGGTCATTTAGAAATTTTGAACCATTAAATTTGTTAGAAGTGTTGTTTGGTAGAACCGCGATTATATTTCGTATTTGAAATAATTTCTTAGCACAGAAGAGCGGTATCAGTGAATATCATCAATTTTTGTAGGCTTGGGGGTGGAGGAAATTGTATGCTGAGGGTTGAATGAAATTCCAAAAAAGTAGATTGAGAAATGATCTACTACAGATACGAAAGCCATTTGAATTTGGTTCTAAAAATTTGTACGCGCTTCAAAAACAAAGAAAAACAAACAAAATGCAGTGTCCGAAAACCGCAAGCATGGGGATAGCGAAAAATTGCCCGACAAGGCAACAGCAACACTCTTTCACAGATCACGATAGAAAAAACCCGCTCGGGAGACAGATCTACATTTTTCGGAACCATTTTGCAAGATCAACAACAGCACTCTCGAGAATGTGGGATATATGCTTTTTCTAGAATATTGGACAGATGCAGTTTCCATTACTCTCAGACAGACCACCTTATATTTTTTCTACACACTGACTCTGACAGATTTCACCAACTTTTCGTTGTTTTTAAGGACATACCTTTGAAGATCTTTGTTTTCCTGATAAAGGGTAAGGATATGTCCTAAGCAATCAAAGACAGAAGAGTATAAACAGCACGAGGACTTCTTCACTACCAAATGTCCTCTTAATCCACAAACACACACACCACAAACACACACCAAATTACATCACAACTTTTAGCTAGACGTCGAGGACACCTAAGGCATTTTGAGTCTGACGGAAAAAACGCATCTAAAAGTGTTCTGTTGTCGCAAACGAGTTCAGTACTCTAGCAGTTGTCATGATCTTCTAGTCTGCTTCAGTACTAGCAGTTCCGTGCTGGAGCCTTTCGTGGAAAGGGAGTCTCTTTTCCTGGGAATCTTATAATTCTTCAAGCTTTCCCTCCGTGGATATCAGGAATCTGTTTCAATCCACTGAATCTCGTCTGAACTTGGATAATATCAGGATCTTAACTCGGCTGTGCTCTGTAGCTGTATCTGATCGAGGACATCACGACCTACGTCGAATACGGATGTTGTTGCTCATGTTCTTGTAGGACGTGGCTATATCAAGTCTATGTAGTGAAGTCTATGTAGTGAACGACCTGAACAACTCTAGTATGTTGAATCGAAAAATAATTGTAAATCTAAGGTAACAACCGGTCGCCATGTTCTTCTATCAGTATCGATGTATCTTCAGAAAAAAACTTCTATTTTTTTCTAGTTCTACTTGTGTTAGCTTGTCAGAATAAATAACGGTGAAATTGTACATCTAGTACTACGAACCTGTTTCAACCTAAGGTAAAAATGAAAAAGACTGGGACTAACCTTAAAACCTAGGACCCACCTAGATGACAACCGTTGTGTTTACATCCCGCCACCCCCACTAGCCATAGCCATCGTGGCTCTGACATCACTAGGCTGGCCACCGCCGACTGGTCGATACGATGGTGTATTCATTCGTCGCAACTCTTCGTGAAGCCTGTGGTCCAGGCAAAGGATATTGTGCGAAGATGGAACGATTTTGATGTTGAGGGGTAAGTGGTTGTCGTCTCCTAGTGCTTACAGATGGTAAAATTAGATTGAAGTGCAGAACAATCAATTCACAGCAGGGTACCCAGATTCATCTAGTTCTCAACATAGTTACGAGATAAAACAAACGCAAGTTGCTTGTAGTACGTGTCAATATAAGCCGCTTGCTGTTTGTGTGAGGCGATCAGGGCTTTGATATCTGGACCCGCTTGTGTTTTCACATCTTCCGACACGAAAATTGAGCAGCTGTTTCTGCCCGATCGTGCCACTTCAAATGCGCTGCCGATCACTGACAGACATATTTTTGGCGCATAAACATCCTGGACTGCACCACTGTAAGACGCCTCGAAGAGATATGAAGAGGGGTGCTTTGTGGGTAATCTGAACATGATAGATTCTCACTGAAACTAGATGTGGGTAGTAATTGAGTAAGTGTTCCTAACTGTCTTTCAAAAAAAAACGGTCGTAATCATCATGTTAAAAAATCAAGTTGTTTGTTCATAATTTTCCGTTGATCTGTTGGAAGTCACCTGGTGGTGCACGCGGGTCTGCCTTTGTGTCGAGATTGAACCTGAGGTAGAGGTGGAAGATTACGGATGGTGAAATTGGTACGAGGAGTGCCTTTGAATATACTAGTTTGTTAAAACACAAGTTTCAACCTGCATATTAAAACGGCCAATCATACTAATCTTTGTGAATCAATTTCACTTCTACGTTCCAGTTCTAGATCTAGATCCATGATATTCCAAGCAATAATACCATTGCTGAAAGATTCCACTTGAATATCGTTCTGCAAGTCTCTCGATCGGAAATCGCACTAGACCCAGGCATCGACTGTACTCTGGTGAAAATTGCGGTTCCGGACACTCGTAGACAACCAATGTCAGCACTGTTGTAATTCCTACTTCGACACTCAAAGTTTGTGATCTACCTATCACCTTGGTAGCGGCACCACCGGTTGAGACCTTGGGGTAGTGATGAGAGAGAGAGAGAGGAATGGGAATCTACTAGTGTTGATTAAATGACAGACAATCATGTCTAATTGAATGAAGACAGAGAATCATGCTATCCTTGTTCATGAATATTCAACGCAAGCGAAACGTAATTCAGCATTGAGCAACCAATCCCCATCATCGAGACCCAGCACAAGAACTGGTGGCTTCAAGTCACAAAGCATAATGGTAGTACGTTGGCGAAGTAGAATTGATCCTGCGCTTTTGCATTGTGTACATCCACCATGGTGACGAGCACTGGGATAGTGTCCGTTGACACGGCGCCACCCATCCTGTCGCAGACTCTGTTCTTGTTATACAGATAGTGATACTGGAAGATAAACTGAAGATAGAATTTTGTCACAAACTCTACCTGTTCAACTTTCTTGTCGAAAAATGTATCTTACTGGAAGTGAAGGAAAATCTCTCGATGTTTCCACCCTGTCTCTCTACTAGACGCACATATCTCCTTCCTTGTTTTCTCTTCTCCTCTCCAGAAGGCATAGCTTGCTCCTAGCCACTGAGATGAAGTAGACATTTTGCGTTACTAGTACCGAATCGATCATCCTTATTCTCTTCGTCCACTCTCAGAAGTACATCTTGAAAGCAGTAGTGTTTTAAACGCCTAAACAACCTTTACCTTGTCTAATTTTCTCACCATTTTCGTATGAACACGAAAACGTTAGAAATCGAGGTTTCCACAAAAAGGCTGTGCACCACTTCTTACTCAGTAGTGACCGCTCCTACCTCGTCTAACATGCCAACTTAAATTTCATTCTGTCGTCATATGTCGTTGTCGCTTGAGTTTGTCTGGGGAAGGAATAAGAAAGGAATTATTCCGAGGGATTTGGTATTAGCGCGTGCATTTTCAGGTAGGGCGCACTACTTGGTACGTATGCGTGGCTCTTAGTCCACAACGCACAAGCGAGAGCTAAGATGCACGTCTTGAGAGAGACTTGATGCAAGTACATACTCCTGTCCTTGTCCTTGACCATTCATGCAACAGTTTCATCACTTATCTTCGTCTCTTTCTTCCGTTTTTTTCCGACAGGATTTCCATCATCCACTACGCTCTTGGTCTCTCCATCTTGTTCCCGCGTCCGCTTATTTTCTGAAGTTGTTCCGCCCAATGCTAACTTTAGTTTCTTTTGCACCAGTTTTCGGAGCCACTCTATGCGTCCACTTTCGCCTAAATCCTTCCCCATAGCTGTCCACATGGCGTGGGAAACCACGTAGAACGAGTACCCCAAGTTGCGGAAAATCTGGTTTCGTAAGAGAGTACTGCCAGTTGGAAGTTTGTCGACTACAGAGGGTTCAGCCACCACAGACGTCGAAGAAGACCGCTTCAACACCCTGTTGCCGTGCTTTTCTCCATCAACCTCTAGTATGAAACAATTTTGTGGCTTCACCTGTTCCCCCGTAGAAAAGTGGACTCCGCGTATGAATTTCGGTTCCGCCACTCCACCACTGCCTTCCTGCAACATGATACAGAAATCACAACGTAGGTGTTCTGCCACTTCGCACTCGGATACAACAGTTACTGGCAGCTCTTCACAGGCAGAACGCAATCCGACGCCAAGAAAATGCTCCAATGCTCCTGACGGCTTTACTGAGGGCGTTGAAGATTTGCTGCTTCCAGAGTGTCTTGCTGTGGAAGTAGTGGTAGTATTCTTATTATAGCAAGAAACGAACATCTGCGACAAACTGTCCAGAAACTCCACCTGTTTTTTTACCTTCGCGTACTGCTTATGGTCTTCTCCGGGAAGTTGTCCGCGGAGTGTAGAGCGTAATGAAGAGGACAAAGCAAACGCTGTTCTCGCTAGTTTTTCAGCACTTTTCTCTTTTGATGTTGTAGACCTCGTGCCAGAGGACTTTGTCGTTCCTGCAAGAACGTTAGCCAATGCCTCCAACTGTTGCATGCAGAATATGCGGAGTCTGCGAAGAACTAAGCGATCCTGCGGGGACAAAGGTTCGGTTCCTCCGCAGAGGAGGACTTCTTCCGATGCCGTCTTACTCGATTTCGTCGTCTCAACAGCACTAGCAGCGTTTTTTTTGTTGGAAGAATCTGCGTCGTAAACCACCGTGAGGAGAGCGAGAGCCCACACAAAGTCTCCTTTCTGCAATAAAGAAAAACGAGACCAAATCCTTTCCGCAGCATCCACCAATTTCTCCAAAAACCCTGCATGAAATGCGCCACAACGGGCCCAACCAATGGCTAGTCCAGTCAGAGACCCTGCTAGCATGTGCAATTCTGCTGTACTAGATGACGTCGTAGAGGACAAGGAAGATGGAGCAACAGCGACCACGTGTGCCAATAGCCGTTTGTCTAGCATGTGTATTTTCTCCAATGATCCCAGAAGTGAGGACAATTCCGTGATCTTGGTATTCTTCGCACCACGGTCGCAAAAAGTGTCCACTGCGCAAGCTACAGAAGACAAAATCTCGTCATCGACACTGAAAACTTTCTTTTGAGGAACCACTTGCGCTAGTGCCCAGATCAAATTCGCGATGTCTAGTGTGTTGTAGGAAACTGCGTTGTCACGGAAATGACGCAGAGCTTGACTTAACGCCCGTCTCAACTGCATTCTCAGACTGAATTTGTCTTGACTCCTCAAAAGCGCGTCTTCCTTGATGTCCACGACCTTCTTCGACTTTGCGTTTGGCATAAGACTCCATTTCATCTCTGATTCCCGCGATTCGTCAGAGAGAGTATTTTTATCCTCCTGCAGAGACACTAAGGGAAGAAGTTTTGCTGCGTCGTTTATCAGACGTGTAAGTTCCTGTGGTTTCCACAATGCACAGCTGTCTTCTGATGAAGAGTTTCCAGCTTGTAGTTCTTGTTCCAGACTCTTCTCAAGTCTCCCAAGTACGATGGCCACCACAGGAGGTGGCAGTGCGCGTAATTTTCCTAATGACCAGCAAATGCTTGAGATCTCCTGTCCCTGCATCCCAGTCCACCGTAGGGCCGCTAGTCTCTCCGCCACTTCCAGACCCACTAGGGATGCCAACTGATGTTCTCGTCCGTCAGCATGCATCCAATCAACATCTTTTTGAGTGTCATTCCTAATGCTGATAGCATCCTCTTCCACAACATCCAGATTTTTCGCAAGGGCCGCGAGCAGAGTTGCAAGTTCTTGCGGCTTAAAACCGCCAAGTGCCATGGTACAGGCGTGCATCTTCATTAAATCGTATAAGGAAAATTCCAAGTCGTCATTCTTGAACCAAACGCCCGAAAATTCTTGTAGTCGTACATTCACAGTCTCTAACGTCAACCAGGGGTCTTTGGCTAATAATTTGCCTATCTTTCTAGTCGGTGCGAGTGGAGCAGAGGAGTGATCTTGCTTCTCGTTGTCCTCTCCTTCATCTTGAGGGCCATCTTCTGATTCTTCGTCGTCCCACCATCTAACCGTTGCGTCGATCAGACTCTGAGCTTCCGCAAAGTTTCCTACACAGGCACCGAAAAAATTCAAATTCACCGCACCAGTCGTTTCTTGAGGAGGAGGATCTCTAACATCCAGAGGGGAAGTTTTTGAGGAGGTTGTGCTTAATGTACTAGTTGTACTTTTGCCCTCCTCCATTGCTCGCTTAGCGGCGTTCTCCTTCTTTTTAACTCGTCGACTCAATTTACTGGGAGCCACGAGCCTTTGCGCCAGATAGTGTAATGCAAACCGCAAGATCGCTTTTTCTCGTTTCACTTGTTCAGTCTGCTCCATTTTAGAACTTCTACCCCCTTTGCTAATCGCAGCAGCGATGTTTGCCACGGATTGAGGATTGTAGCCTTCGAATTTGTCCTCTATTATCCGATCCAACAACTCTGGTGGAAACGCTAAATTGCTAGTCGCCAAACGATGCGTTGCCGCAGCGACCGTAATGGCATCAAATGCGGTTACAGAACGTGAAACGAAAATTCTAAGTCTCTCGCCGGACTCTCCTTTAAGCTGGGCCATCAAAGCCTTTTGAGAACCTTGATCTACTTGTTTAGAAGATATGTGCTTCGAAGACTTCGCACCAGTTTTGCTCTTCGACGAAGCGGAGGTGTTTTTCGTAAGAGAAGTAGAGGAGGAACTTGTCGTGCATGTTTTTAGCATCTCAACAATGACCTGCGCGCGTGTTCGAGGCAAATACGACAAGCGCCCCAATCCGCTTGTCTTCGCCTTAGGGACGCACACATATGATCTCGTTGGACGCATACATATCTCCTTGATTTTACAGTCCTCAGACGCAGGACCCCAGATCCCGCCATCATTTTCCACAAAAGTCGACACACCACGACTCGAAGACGTGGCTTGTTTTTCCTCCGCTGATGTTTCCGTCATTGTTGTTCTTTTTAGAAGATGTAGATGATCCAGGAAATAGTAACTTACCAGCAACTGATGTTCTCAATGTGCTAGTAATTATGAGTCAGAAGTATAAGAGTATGAGCAGACTAGTGGACTATCATGCAGCTAGTATGTCATGCTCTGGACTATCGCGGTCGCCTGAATGATCTGAAGACGTAGTACTACAACTTTACTTCAAGAGACAACATGTCGATCTTCAAGATCCTTTTTACCACATGTCGTTAACGAGATCTGTTTTCACATGGACTACAAGATCTCTTTGTACATCAAATGCACATGAACGTCGAAAGAACCTGTGCTGAAGGACTCTTGTTGAACGAAATATTTCAACGACGAGCATATCTTCAGGATCCTTTTTGATGGTCGAGACCATACTAAACTACATTGAGGATCTTGAGATCCACGAGTGAGATCTTCATCTTCACGATCACAACGAACTTTTTCAACCTACTTCTACGTAGCAGTTAGTGCAAGTTACCCGGATTATTGTTACCCTGCGAACCCATGATCGTCAGAACCGTGTATCTGGGACTCTAGGGAACAGAACCGATCGGGAATTGGAACAGGAATTTGAGACTGAGATCTCGGAAGTGTTCAAGAGCTGTTGTCCTCAAAAGCATATTTGTATCTGGCTCTAAACCATCGACGAGTAAGTCGGGGTAATTTGTAACGTTCTCTTTCGTTTTCACATTGCGATCTGAAGAATAGCTACTCAGCATTCATCTTATTGTAGAACTTGCCGGAGTTAGCGTTCATTGAAAATCAAAACAATTGTCCATAATATCCAAGCTCGCACAGTAAAACATCTCTTTTGTTGAGCAGAGTTCAGCTTCGTCATCTTTGATTTGAGGATACGATAAACAGCATCTTCAATCACCAGTCTTTACAAGCGATTAGGAATTCTAGTGCTGTCGTGTCTAGAATGTAACGAGGAAAGTGAGAAGATCCTAGTCAGTCATCATAAGTTCGTATACTTGTGCATGTAATACCGAGCTTACAAAGAACATCCGTGGAGTTGACAATAAGTTCTAGGTTTTGTTATGGTTTCTGTGCGATAAAAAAGATCGGTTCTGATTAAAAAGGCCTAATCACTCTTCCTCGACCGGCGTAAGAAGAAACTTCACTCTTTTCGTCTTCGGTTCGTAGATGAACTCGCTGAGGATAGCAGATCTACTGCGGCTCCTCTTTCCTGGTGCATGTACTTGGATTTCTTTCTCGTTTTCGATTGCTGCATACATCCCCGTGGGCTTCTTTTCTTCATCGTCGTCGCCTTCTTCATCCGCATCTTCGGGCACGGCGAAGATGGATAACAGCTCGTGCAGTTTCTTCGCATCCTTGGAGGGATCGACGCTCACAGACCAGGCGGAGTCATGGTACCACTTCTTGCCGGCCTCCGCCAGCTCGAAGTATGGCTCCTCGGCTCGCCACTTGATGTCCTCGAGTGCTTCCTGAGGTACTAGCGAGATCCGATTCTCGATGCTTTTAGACGCGAACGCGACCTGGACGTCCTTGCATTCCTGACTGCCGGTCTCCCGCACGTAGACCACCCATTCGCTCCGGCCTTTCCGGCCCTCCTCCCATCCTACGATGATGACCGGAAACGTTTCTTTGCGTTCCGAGTTGTTGTCCGCCGTGAACATGTCTACCTTATTGGAAGACAGCCACTCGCGCGACGGAGAAAAGCTCTCGCTGACGACTGGGCCTCCCTTCATGAGTTTTGTTTTGATCATCTCAGGGCTCGGAGACTGCAGCGTGACCACCTCGCCAGTGAACTTGTTCCCTGTCGAAAAGATTTGGTCGTCCGATAGCTCGCGATTATGAGCGATTTGCCCACGTAGGTTCGCGCAGTTCACTTTTGATTAGAGGTCTTAGACACGCACCTTGACCATGTATGACCAAGTCTCTATGTCCACCCATCCCCCCGAGAGCGTGAAGGCCAACTGAAATAAGTGCCGACAAAAAGATTAGTTCAAGTCCATAATTCAAAGCCACTTCGCTCGATTGGAATCCGGTCGGTACTAGCGTCGGGACCTCGTCTTCGCCTAGAGCATTCCAGTTCTCGAAGCAATGAAAACGCTTCGGGAACGCCGATGCCACCGCGCTTGTCCTCCTCTTTTTTGCCGGCCCCGCTTTCGCGGCTTTCTCCGCGGCTGCACAAAACCTTTCTAGTTGTTGGAAGAGCTCAGTCGCCTTCTTGTCGCCATCATGTTTGTCAGGGTGGAGTCGCAGCTGCAGGGCTTTGACGGCTTTTTTGACAGCGGCCTGGTTGCCTGCTTTTTCCGCTGAAAACTCCGGGCTGGTAATGCGGAGAAGCTCCGTGAGGGAGTCCGCATCTGGAGTTTTTTTGATGGCCGCGTCTACCATCTGTAAAAAGATAGCGCGAAACGGGTCAGCGCTCGAGCTCGGCATCTTTTGATGAGGCACAGCTTGGTATGAAGTTTTACTAAACATACAAAAAAAACCCAGTTCAGTATGATCTACAGCAGCAATCAAGTCCTCACCCTGATGTTAACATAAAGAGCGAGTACACGAGTCCTTTCCTTTCATTTTGAAGTACCATCGTATTTTGCGTAGGCTTCTTCGAAACGTGTTGAGTCTTTAAAATTAACCGACCGAAACGACTCCAACGATCTACGTTTTTCGACGAGAAGTTTTTCGAGGTTGATAGTATCGATGACGACCACCTCGTTCATCAAAGTAGGACTCACTAGTGTCCAAGGCGCCGGTTTTGATTTGTCGAATCTCCAGTAGATAGAACATCCCGGCGTGACACCGGAGTCCCGCTGCACTAGTTCTGGGTCTCTTGTTGTTCTAACATATTTTGAAATGAAGTGCCATGACAGAGTTCCAAAAATAAGTGTCATCAAATGTTTTTTTTCAATTTCTTCATCTGATCAAGCTTTTCAGCTACCGGGCAGGCGGCCACGGCATCATCGCGTATTCATGTAAATTGAATCTGACGGTAAAGGTGTGTTCTTGAGATTCTTAAGAGGTGAAGCTCTAGCTTCCATGGAGGGATGACTAGATCGGGGTGAACCTTAGGGCAGCAGGCTCTTTCAAAATGCTTTTATCCCATTATAGCTTCCGTAATCTCCAGACCAGATCTTCCTTGGGACAACGGACCAAGTAGAGGGAGGTCATGTATCCGTATTTTTACACTGGTTTCTGAAAGTACACCTTCGCATAGTCTACGGCTTTTCTCAGAGGCGGAACTTTTTCCAACACCGGCTCCACACGTTGCCCAACCAACTCCCATGCCGCTTGCTGCTGCTTCTGGCTTTTTATTAGAGATGGGAAAATTCAAAAAATGGTGAAGAGTAAAGCGATGGAGCAGAGACCGTAGAATAGACGCGAGAAGATCCTATTATAGAACGAACGATTGTTGAAGAGGTCGTAAAAGTACGAGTGAGTGAGGACAAGGCCCTCTTCTAATACTGCGTCACACTAAGGCTTTAGAAGGATGACTGAACTTAGATCCAGATCACTCCATCTTCACCGAGTTTAGCAGAATTGAAGATTACCTAGTTCATCAAAATCGAAGCTACCCGAATAAAGATTGAATAGGTACCACAATGCTATCAATCTTCTAAAGTGAGTATCTATGACGACCATAACTAACATATGGCCGTCACAGTCTCTGAATCATCATGTAATCTGGCATAACTTTGGGTTCTGGTATCGCATCCGCAGGAACGTCCAGTACACGAAGACAATCATTATCGACCGCGTTTCCGGAAATATCAGCATCAGGATCGTGGATTAGAGAGAGCAGAAAATTAACCAGAGAGCAAGAAAATTAACCTAACCCTAAGCCCAAAGGAAGCTTTGACAACCAGCATGGTGTTACTTACATGTACAACTACTCCTTGTTATAGAAATGGCCTTCTTCAGATAGAAAATTTTTTTGACGTAAAAGTAAAATCCCAGCGCGACTTCGGCTACCGCAGAGTACAGCATGACCTCTGCTTCTTTTGCCATCAATTGGTCATACTGTGGCTTCAGCTGTGCTAACTGTGGTACTGCTTGCATGTTTTTACCTGCGAACCTGGAGGTTTCGTTTTGATCAATTGATTGATTCATTGATTTACCCACGTTCGGCGAGGCACAGCACCCTTTAATTGATAGGCTTTATGCAGGTTCGTTCATTACGTCACTTCTCGGCTTAGCCTTAGGTCAGCAGTCGTTCAAGGTGACAAAATTAAAACGATTTAATGCGGATTGTAATATTTCATTAAAGAATAGTACTTCAAAATCGCCCACAGTGATCTTCGTGCTGGAATCGCCAGCACTGGTAGGCAAGGCGGAAAAGTAATGAATATCGTTGCGTAAAAGAGCCAGTGGAATTCCGTTGCCGGAACAACAGTACCAAGGTACACCTTACACTTTTCCCATCCTTCTCTCACTGGTGGTGATCCGTAGTTGCTTACTCTGTTATTTGGTGGATTCATTGAAAATAAGTTGTTGAACCTTAGATAGTCAATAATCTTTTTTGCATGAGATGAAAAAAATCCTCATACGGGACATAATTGCTCACTCTATTATTTTCTGGTGGATCATGTGTTGCTCGAATCTTCTAACCTCCAAACAGGGAAACGTTTCTCAATTTTCTCCTTGGGAAACGTTTCTCAATTTTCATTTCTAGTCTACAGACAATACCAAACGGCTTTCCTAACAACCTCTACCTTCAACATGATCTCAAGTTTTTAGGTCTTAAAATTTACATTGTGATGCAACTTGCGGCGAGCGAGCACCACATTGCGGCCGAATAAAAGTAGGCTTGAATTTGGAAGCCCAGAAGGTCAAACGGAATAACGTAAACGATCGCCGATAGAAGGGCAAAGCTGTGACACTGCACGACAAAGGACTGTGGGCTCGCGGTCATCCGATCGATTGGCGCGGTTACTTTCGCAGGCAAGTAGGCTTTGATCATGGCCCACTTGGTTACCACCAAGTACACCGCGAGAGGAGCTATTAACCACTGCATCCTTTTTTCCAAATAAAACTAGGCAAACTAAAGTTTGTTGAGATAAAAACAGACACCTAGTCCCCCGTGGAAAGATAGACAATGCTAGACCACTATGGAGGTAACAATTTTATAGAGTGAGAGCACTGCAGAAGACTCTTTAGACGAATCATAGCAGAAGATTCTTTACACAAATCTAAAGCTACATTCTAGTACTATCCACAGCCAAGTCCAAGAGAATCATTTCTAAGCCGACGATCCTGTATTGTGCCACTTATACAGATCATTTTAGAACCCCAACACACACTTGGTTCTACTACGGATCACTCCAGAGCTATCGGGGACACTTCGTTCTACAAGAGAGAGAGAGAGAAAGAGGGAGATCATTTCATCAGAACCTGAGTGATCATAGTGTTATTCTGAGAGGGATACTTTGTTCAAAGTGGTTGAATTCATCTGAGATGAAGAGCGGAACGCGGCTTCATTTTTTACCTGCACAAGATTTCCTCAGTCTTGAGCAAGAACAAAAGAAAACTTTCTGAGTGTTTCTTTTGAAAACTGAACCACTGCTTCTCCTAAAAGAACACCATCCGAAGAGTACTTAACGAGCTGCCATCCTCTCCTCGTGGCGAACACCAATCGACGGCTTGATCAATGCGTTTCTTCGAAATTTTCGGCTGTATATAGCTGTAGAGTTATGTCTTGAGTTACCCTTTTACTAAAAGTACACAACAACTATAAATATGGTGTTATATAATATCGCTTTGTTCGCTTGACGACGACGAGAAGTTTAGGCTTCTACACGGGCAACCGTTTGCAAATTGCGGCTGTTTATAAGCACTCACAGCTCCGCCGACATAGAGAGAGACCCAGCCACAGCTCCCGCCCTCCTCCCCGGCAACTTATCACCCGCAGGCGCGAGGGCGTCGCGCTGTCTTGCGCCGAAGCTACGCGGGCAAAGCTAGCGCAAGGGCGCCGCCCTGAAGTACGGGAAAGAAGCCAAACGCCCGCGGGCGCTCGTCTTTTCGAGAAGACCTCAACCCCGGCAGCCCTCAGCACCCTCCAAGGGGCCACGGGCGCCGCGCGTTTCGGGGGGGTCCGGTGCGTCTCCCCGCGCCGACTGAAGAAGGGCCACCGGCCCTTTTTCCTCCTCCGACTACCAGGGAGGCGCGGGGCCGTCCTTCCTCATGCGTGGGCGGCACCGTGACAGGGGGACGGCGGTAGGGGCCAAGAAGGCCCTCTATAGAGGCGCACGGGACCAAAAGCCACGGACTCTCAATGGGGGGCTGAAAGAGTCTCCACTGAATTCTGCAACGTTTCCCGAGCCGCGGCTTTTTCAAGTGTTCAGCTTGGAACCTCCTCAAAAGTCGGGGCCCTTCAGCCAATCGGCAACCTGCGCAAGGGCTTCCGCCGCCGTCGTCGGCTTATCGCGGTCCGGCTGCGAAGCCGCAGGGCCATGGAGTCACCAGGCGCGCGCGCGCGGTCTCCTTGGCTTCCAAGGCCGCGACTTTTTCAAGTGTTCAGCTTCAGAACCCCGCACAGGCCGGCGCTGTTCAACCAATCAACAACCAGCGCAAGAGCCTGCGCCGCCGCGTCGGCTGACCGCGGTGCGGCTGCGAGTGCGAAGCCGTAGGGCCATGGAGTCAGCAGGGAGGCGCGTGCGCGCGGTCTCCTGGCTCCCAAAGCCGCAGCCTTTTCAAGTGTTCAACTTGCGAACTTTTCAAAAACCGGGGCGCTTCAGCCAATCAGCAACCAGCGGAGGGCACCCGAGGAGGCGGGAAGCCGTGGAATCTGGTGCGGGTTGCCCTCCCATCGCGATGAGATTCTCGAAAAGCAACGGAGCCGCGATAGGTTTTCCCGCACGCCTCCATAGAGGGCGATCTCGATCTGGAAGCGATAGCCCAGGCGGTGGCGGGCGCGCGAGGAGAACCGCCTGGCGCCGGACTGCTTGGCAGGCGAGCATGTGGCTGCGTGGAGAAGCAGGCGCGCGCCTCCGCGAAAATCGACCGTGTGGCTTAGGTCGCCCCCGATTGGGGCCTACGGGAAACTAATGGACGAAAATGGTACGCCTTTTCTGCCATTAGTTTCCCACGAAGTTGCGACGCACTCGCCCCTATTCAGCTTAGGTAGCGAGAAGGCCGCGACTTTGGCCGCAGTTGTGGAGCTTGCGCCTGGGTTCTTCCTTGCCGTCGCTCGTCGGCAGATAGAAGCGGGCGCTGCTAATGGTAATGGGGAAAGAGCAAAAGCGCTTCTGCCATTAGTGCGCATGCGAGTGGGACTCTGTCACCTCTATCGAGCAGAAGCAGCGAGAGAGTCGCTGCTTTGACAGCAGTGGCGGGGCCTGCGCCTGGGTTCTCGACAGACAAACAATCGAGCGCACGATCGCGGACAGCCAAGCCTTCGAAAAGGTGCGACCTCTTCTGGGGTTCACCTTCCCAACTTGAAGAGGCCGCACTTCTAAGCGAATTGCGAGGGCTGAGCGCCATCAAATGGCGGGACAAAGGTCGCGCGCATCAGTTTGCTGAACACTGCGGAGCCTAATGCCGCTTGCCCCGCGCAGAGCTGGACTGCGTTCCCAGTAGGGAAGGGAATCAGAGGAACCGAGTCGGGGCCTCATGTCAATCGCGAGGAAGTTACAAAGGGCCGGCGCCTTCTCTCCATTATTTTCCCGTAGCAGGTCCCTATAGAGGGCGCCCCCTCCCTTAGGATTAGTCTAGTTGAGTTAGTTTAGTTGAGTTAGTTCAGCTAAGGCCTAGGCAAGTAAGCTGAGTGGAGTAAGCTGAGTGACGTAAGTTGAGGGGAGTAAGTTTATCACTTATTAGGAGATGGATAGACGGCTATCCACAGACCTACAGACGGCCAAAGGGCGGAATCTGAAGCACGGCGACGCGCTAGGCAAATGCAGGAGAGTCCTAACAAGGGGCGCCGCGGTCCGGGTGCGTTTGCCGGTGCCGTCATGGTAAAAAGAGGCAGGAGGCCTCTAACCAACTCCGAAGGAGCGTAAGGCAAGCAGGTGCAGCGGTAGAAACAGCTAGGGAAACATCATCTGGGGCATTTAGTCGAAAGCCGGCGCGCCGCGCTAAGGCAGCCCCAAAGCACCAGACCCCCCCGCGGCTAGCTGAGTCGCAGTTCGGAGCGCAAGCGCAACGACAGCAACAGGCCTGCACAAAGTGCGCGACGAGGGAGCGGCGGCACTCCTGCGCAGTGCCGCTGCGCGCTCGTATAGTTTCCGAGACGCCAATGCATCACAGACCGCAGCCCGCAGTCCCGTATAGGCGTAAATACCCACCAAGTAGCGCAAACCAAGTAGACCAAATAAAGCGAGGCAGTGAAATCTGACGCCCACCTTCTAGACGCCGAGGCGCTCACGCAGCAGAGGCAGCACGTCAAAAAGGCGCCACTCCTGGCCGGCAGTGGTGTGGTGGAGGCCGGTGGAGACCCTCCGCGCAAGGGAGAGAGAAGCCGAGGGGGCCCCGAAGCCAAGACAGGGAGGCCAGCACGCACGAAGGCTCGCGCTGAAGTCTCTTGCCCCCAATCCGAAAGCCCAGACATGGGCACCACACGCCAGGGAGGGGCAGCAACGACGCGCCGAAGTTCGCTAGGGTGAGCGCGTCCCCTGCGACGGAGTGCAGCGCCCGCCCTCCTCTATCCACGTCGCCAGGTCGTAAGCGTAGAACCACGAGCCACCCCCCGGCCCGTCCACGGGTACCGGAGTGCGCAGGCCATCTCTCGACGCTTCGCGCGGTAATGTTGTCCCAATGTGACCCCGGTGACTAGCCGGGGGCTAAGTTAGTTGAGTAAAGTTAGTTGAGTAAAGTTAGCAGAGTAAAGCTAGCTGAGTAAAGTTAGCTGGGTAAAGTTAGCTGAGTAAAGTTAGCTGAGTAAAGTTAGTTGAGTAAAGTTAGCTGAGTAAAGTTAACTGAGTAAAGTTAGTTCAGTGGGGTGAGTTCAGTGAAGTTAGTCGAGTTGAGTTAGTTGGGTTAAGTTGGTTGAGTTAATTTAGTTGAGTGGAGTTAGTTGAGTTGAGTGGAGTTAGCTGAGTTAAGTTAGTTGAGTTAAGTTCAGTTAGTTGAGTAAGTTAGTTGGATTAAGTTAGTTGAGTTCAGTTAGTTGAGTTCAGTTAGTTGAGTTCAGTCAGTTGAGTTCAGTCAGTTGAGTTCAGTCAGTTGAGTTCAGTCAGTTGAGTTCAGTTAGTTGAGTTCAGTTAGTTGAGTTCAGTTAGTTGAGTTCAGTTAGTTGGGTTCAGTTAGTTGAGTTAAGTTAGTTGAGTTAAGTTAGTTGCGTCAGGTTAGTTGAGTTAAGTTAGTTAAGTTAGTTAAGTTAGTTAAGTTAAGTTAGTTGAGCCAAGTCAGTTGAGTTAAGTTAGTTGAGTTAAGTTAGTTGGGTTAAGTTAGTTGAGTTAAGTTAGCTGAGTTAAGTTAGTTGAGTTAAGTTAGTTGAGTTAGGTTAGTTGAGTTAAGTTAGTTGAGTGAAGTTAGTTGAGTGAAGTTAGTTGAGTGAAGTTAGCTGAGTTCAGTTAGTTGAGTTCAGTTAGTTGAGTTCAGTTAGTTGAGTTAAGTTAGTTGAGTTAAGTTAGTTGAGTTAGGTTAGTTGAGTTAAGTTAGTTGAGTTAAGTTAGTTGAGTTCAGTTCGTTGAGTTCAGTTACTTGAGTTCAGTTAGTCTTAGTTGGGTTAAGTTGGTTGGGTTGAGTCAGTTGGGTTAAGTTAGTCGAGTTAAGTTAACTGGGTTAAGTTAGTGCGGTTAAGTTAGTTGGGTTAAGTTACTTGGGTCCAGTTAGTTGAGTCAGGTTAGCTGAGTTAAGTTAGTTCAGTTAAGTTAGTTCAGTTAAGTTAGTTCAGTTAAGTTAATTCAGTTAAGTTAGTTCAGTTAAGTTAGTTCAGTCAAGTTAGTTGAGTTGAGTTGGGTTAGTGGAGTGAAGTCAGTGGAGCTAAGTTGGCTGGGTTAAGTTTGTTGGGTTAGGTTGGTTGGGCTAATTTGGTGGAGTTGAGTTGGTTGAGTTAGGTTAGTTGGGTTGAGTTATTATGGTCAAGCTATTGGCGTCGAGTTATTTTAGTTCAGTTATTTTAGTTCAGTTAGTTTAGCCGAATTAGTTTAATTCGGTGAGTTTAGATGAGTTGGTAGATCTCTAAGCTCTCGAGTATTTATATAATATATTTACAGTTGAATGAAACTTATCGTGATAACAATTTATATTTTTGAAAAGTTTTCATTTTTGGGAAGATTTGAAATTTAAGGGACATTAGATATATTTATACATTACCTATATTTTCCTAGAATATATAAACATTTATAGAGCAATATATATGACATGTGCTGTTAATCTTAATTGAATTTTTTTTCCGGCATTTTCAAAATTTTAAATTTTTACGCTCAAATAATAATATAATTATCGAAACGGA